AGTAGGAGCACGGAGAGAAATATTCAATAAAAATTACGTATCTTTTCCGTAATTCCGGAGCGAAATGTGGTTGTAGGAAATTTTACAGAACTGTCACGGAATTTTTCCAGAGCGTTCCGTAATTTTTATCTGAAAAATCTTTTGTGAAAAATTACGATACCGTCACTTAAAGTTTCTGAGTCGATTCCGTAATCGGTGAGTGAAGTGAGAGTTCCGTAATTTTTACTGAACATTTCTCTCCGTGAGAAAACCGATGATAGATCGAGGTGAAATTGGCTATGAAACTATCATATTCTAGCAATAGCTTGACTCATCGCTCATTCACAGTACAAAAGATTATTCACTCTCAAGGTTATTATCAACAGTTGTGGGAGTATTTTATTTTGTTTATTAGCAATGTTGTACCCACGCACTGACGATTATTATTAATGAAAATTGAATGTTGAATAATTTTTTTATGTAAATGACATTGATTGGGGAAATTGAAGGAAATGGAAGAGAGAAAAATTGTTTTAGGATGTGTTTTTGGGGAAGAAATGTCGGGGAAGAAAAGCCGGTGAACCGCAATAGAAAATCTATTGGAATTCTATTAAAGTTGAATTCTATTAGTTTTTGGCCGATTCTGTTGAAGAATTTCACCGTTTTACTGCGCGTTTTTTAATAGAAAATGTTCAATAGAAAATATTTTATCGAAAAAGTCCGTGGAATTCCATCTTTCCATGCAATTTTTTCCATAGAAATTCCTCGACATGAATTTTCCAAGTTTTTTCCACTCTATTTTTCTTTTCGCCATAAAAAAATCAAATGAAAAAACATGAAAAGTTGGAGCCGAGGAATTTCTATAGAAAATATTTCAATAGAATAAGTTGTATTGAAAAATCACATTCTGTTAGATTTTTTTTGTATAATTTTATGCATCGAACATTGCTATTAAAAAAAACGCGCAGATAAACTGCGGAATTATTCAATAGAATCAGTCAAAAACTGATAGAAAGTTGAAGAGAAATCCAATGAAAATTGCTAGGGAATTTGCTAGGTTTTTCTACGAATTTTTTTCGTACGTGGTGGATTAAAAATGAAGACAGAACCTTCTCAATCGATTGTAATGCGTATCTTCCAGTGATTGAGGAGGCAGATCGTTCTGGAGAGTAATTAATGGGTAGAATCGATCTCAGTGATGAGGGGGTAGAACGGGATGAGGCAAGTCGTTAGGAAAGTGGTAAATCGTAATGAAAGCGTGTGCTATTTTGGGAGAGAATGTTAGGGGATTTTTCTTAGGAGAAAAAGAATATTCAAAAGAAAAAGTCAAAAGAATTCGATTTTTCAAATTTTTAAAGTTGTTTTCACTCTATTTTTCTTTTCTTCTCATCAAGAAAATAAAAAAAAATTAGAAAATTTGAGTCGAGGAAATTCTGTAGAAAATATCTCAATGGAATAAGTTAATAAAAAAATCGAATTCTTTTGACTTTTTCTATAGAATATTTTCTGTTGAACATTTCAATAGAATCGCCCAAAAAACTAATCGAAAGTTCAATAAAAATCCAAAAGAATTTTCTGGCGAATTCGCTGAGTTTTTCTATTAAATTTCTGTCTTGCGTGTTACCATTTCAATATTCAACCAGATGTGAAAAATAGACTCGTTCTGTTACGGTTTACCACTTCACTATTGAAATTCTCAGACATCAGTGTATCGTAGATATTTCACAAGTTGGGACAAATAAAAAAACTTTCGTGAGGACCCTGAGCTCTCGATTTTTGCCATAAAAACTATCTCCATAATTTATACTGTCCTTACATTTGAAATTATCGATGAAAGCCTCATTAAGTAGTCAATCCGTCTCGTTCTGCTACTCCTCAACTGATCTGATATTTCACATATGGAATGTCTGCTCAACTTTACGGAATGAGCCATCAATCATATTCAATAGATTAAGTACAAATTGTTTCGTCGAGTCATTACTCATTGAAAGTCGTAAGTAATGACTCGATGTGAACGGAGAAAACAATATTATCCTAGGTGTATTATAGTAATTTAGGGCGTATTCAAGCCTTACTCGCATGTATAGTAACTGAGAACTACTGAGAATAACAATAAACTTTGTAAATTATTATTTTTCTCCTCTCGAATAGGTGAATTACCGATAAGTACTGAATTAACGTTAACGTTTTTCGAGATGAAAACGTAATGAGTAAAAGAATTAATAAGTAGGGAATGTTGTTCGCTTGTGGAGAGAAAAACATGAATAATCAATTAAAGATCTGCGGATTGTTGATATGCCATTTTATGAGAGGTGCGTAGGTCTTCGATTTTTTCCTGAATGCACGTAGAGGATTTATTTTTCAAATAAAAATGAAACATTCGGTGTAACTTGATTCATATTTTCGTTAGGGTGATGAAAAATTATGGCAATGTGTAAACATTATACTTACCCTTGCAAATACATCAAATACACGACACCAAAGAAATATTATTTTTGGCGTTTTTTTTCAAGTCCTTCATGATGCTTTGTAGCTTTTATTCTCCATTGATAGCAGAGGATTTGTCACAAATTACAGTTGCACGGACTTTTTTTATATGTGTGAACAATTTTTTTTTGTTATTCCAGTCGTAAGACAACACTTCTCGGACGCTACACGCCCTACAACACGCGTGAATCCCTGCCTACGGCCGTCATGGCGAAAAATATTGTTCGTCACACGGCCGAAAAAAACTTATTTTCAAAAGTTTTTTTCGGCCCAATAACGAAATTAGTATATTTCGATACGAGTGAGACAGAATTCTCACGAGTGTGAAGTTGGCGGCTCGAGGCGAAGCCGAGGGCTGCCAATCACACGAGCTGAAAATTCCCGTCTCACATGTGTCGAACAATATTTTTCATCACGCTGTGCGAAAAAGCAAAAACGTCCCTTTTCCACACATTGTGATGAAAAATATTGTTCGATACTCGTGGGAAAAGTGTTTTTTTTAGCGAATTCGCCTTCGGCTCGTGCTATAAACCTCCCACGAGCCAAAAAACACTTTTCCGCACTCGTAACGAAATATACTATTTCGACAGTGATGTTACGTTCAACGAATTGTGCCTTTTTCGGTTACGATATCGGTTGCGTATTCCTTCGGTTCCAGTCTTACGCTTACGCGTTTTTTCGCATAAATCTTTGAAAAGATTTTTCGTTTACTTTTCGTTTACGAGGGAACGAAAAGACACTTTTCAGCACGAGATAAACGTAGCGGCAGTGTCAAAATAGTATATTTCGTCACTAGGCCGAAAAAAATTTTTCTGACGAATATGAGTTTGCAATCATATGAGCTAGAAATAGTATATTTCGTCATTAGGCCAAAAATAGTTATTTTCATCACAAGGTCCACAAAGTATTTTCCGACGAATGTGGCTTTGTAGGTCGAGCCGAAGGCGAGGCCTATAATCACATTCGTCAGAAAATACTTTTGGACCGTGTGATGAATGCAATTTTTCATCAGAAGGCCCGTAAACCGCGATCAAACCGAGCGAAGCGAGGTTAGAATCGCGGTTTACCGGGTCTTCTCACGAAAAGAACTTTTTTCGGCACGCTTCGCGTGCCTAAAAAGTTACTTTTTCGCACAGCGCGATGAAGTAGTACATTATGTCATTAGGTGATAAAAGTATTATCGACGTACCTCACAGATGCTTCGATAATATTTTACAATACTCTAGAATTTCCTGTCATTTACTGTCGAGAAGATGATTTCTGTAGCGAAATGATAAACGGAAACGGAACTTTTTCAGGAAAGTTAAAAATCTTGACCACGTTTGAGAGAACTTTCGATGCATGCAATAGAATTTGTGTTTTAAAACTGCACTTATCCTAATTTACCACTTCACTACAGATTTTAACTCGAAAAAATGGTAGTCGATTAGAAGTAAGTACACTGTTAGAAAATTACTCTTGAAATTTCAAGTGAAAAAGCATGAAATTTTTAACAACGACGAAGATACATGAAATTTCTGTACAATTCTTCATTGACGAATCACTTAATTTCTTGAATATTTAATTAATTGTCGATTTTCAGGTCTATACAGCACTGAAAAACCTTGAAAATTTTGAAAATTCAGGCAATAACTTCTCCGCATTTTCAGTCTATTGAAAATTGAATTGTATGTGATGTTCAATTTTCACGATGAGTTTGGAAATTCAAGGTTTCATTGAAAAATGATTCTTCAACATGAAAAATTCAATTTTCTTGAATTTTCAAGATGAACGAGCCCTGGTGGAAAAAACTCCTTAAATCCTATTTGGAAGAAAAAAGGGTAATTGGACATAATGACGTTATTGCCANATTCCAGTCACAATGTCATCTGAATTTTCAATGTTGTGTTCTCCCTGGTGGAAAAAACTCCTTAAATCCTATTGGAAGAAAAAAGGGTAATTGGAAATAATGACGTTATTGCCGTTGACCCATTATTTCCGATTCAGGTTAGTAGCGCAATGCTGACACGTATGGAAAAATCCAATAGGAAAACCCAGCGAATTAGCTAGAAAATTCTATTGGGATTCTGGAGAAAGAAATTCAAAATCTATTGATTTTTCCGGATGAAATATGCAATAGAATCAGCGCAAAAAACTAATAGAATTTGCCAAGAGAATTCCAATAGAAATCCCATAGAAATCCGATAGATTTTCTCCAGAATCCCAATAGAATTTTCTAGAGAATTCGCTAGGTTTTCCTATTGGATTTTTCCATACGTGTCAGCATTACGCTACTAACCTGAATCGGAAATAATGGGTCAACGGCAATAACGTCATTATTTCCAATTACCCTTTTTTCTTCCAATAGGATTTAAGGAGTTTTTTCCACCAGGGAGAACACAACATTGAAAATTCAGATGACATTGTGACTGGAATTTCAAGAAATTCCTAACAGTGTAATAGATAAAACAGTAGTTGCTTAGAAATATTCACAAATTTATTAAACAAATGGATGCATGTGAAATGACCAAAGTATATACATATTATGATACAATCAATTAATGATAACTTCCAAACGAATGAAAGCTGTTATCGATCGAGATTCTCACTGGACAGATAAGGCTTCTCATTTGTCTTCTCCACTTCTTCAAGCTCCGCTTTTACTCTTCGTCGGCGCCTCCGTGGACGCGTCTTGGCGGTGGCTTCGGGCTGCACTTCAGGGTAAGTTGGATACTCAGGCAACACAGTATCCGATTTAACGGTGTAAATGTCCTCTGGGTAGAAGGGAGGACGTTCGATGTTTGGGGCGCATTCACGACATTGACAGTCAGCTTTAGTTAGACAGGAAGTCGGTGGATAGTAGCACGCCGGCCACGGCGAGGGTGCTGGGTACATCGGAATCGGTATCAGGATCATCTCATTGCCACAGTAACAGGGACGAAATGTTATGTAGTATTCGCCGCGTGGGAAGACCTTGGGAATGCACCAGGGCATGGGTTTCGATAGGTCTCCTCGAGCTGATGCCATTGATTCAGTTGTTGGTTTGTTCAAGATATCTGGAAAATAATATTAGGAATTGAATATAAAATTTGCATTTCTATTGAAAATTCACAAACGAAAGCATCTTATTTGAAAAATCAGTAGGATTTTATCTTTCTATGCAACTTTTTTGCTGAGACATGAGTGGGAATTCTTCAACATGACTTTTATCATTTTTTCTCCACTCTATTGTTCATCTTTACGCCCAGTGGCTTGGCGCAGTGGGTAAGTTCGTTGCCTCACATGCGAAAGGTTCCGAGTTCAAATCCCGGCCGGGTAGAATGGTGCGATCTAACCATTTAAAGTCTTGATCATCATCGCAGTATACCCTAACGGGGTCGAAGCGATGTAAAATAACGATAAAAAAAAATATTGTTCATCTCTTTTCAGTAGGAAAAATCTAGCAAAAGAATGTAAATAATTTGATCCCAGAAAGTTCTGTAGAAAATATCTCAATTGAATGATTTTTGCAGAAAAGTGTAATTCTGTTGATTTCTTCTTATAGAATATTTTCCCTTAAATATTTCTTCGAAAAATGAGGACTAAATCAAATAAATTTCTCTAGCTATGCGCTAGCTTTTTCTATGCTTTTCTTTCATACGTGTTCTATTAACTATTCTATCGAAAAGTTGAGGGACAATATTTCAACTAATGAAATATTTAAGTAAAATAGATATTTACGAAAATTATTCTTTGGTTCCAACTTTTCAAGTCCTCTTGTTCAATTTTTTTATTAAAAAATACGTAGTTTGAAAACTTATTTCGAGCAATTTTTATGGAAAATCTATCAATAGAATTTCTATAGAAAAAATCACTATTTAGATATTTGTTCATTTTCAATAATTTTGGAATAACAATAATAGGAATAGAAAATACCAGGATTATGAAACTTGATAAACACTCACTTGAATTAAATATGTATTGTGAGATTTTTGAAACTCCAAGAGTACGATATATTTCCTGTAGATGTTATTAGATCGACGAGCACTTGAAGACTAATGTCTGCATTGCACTAGATGCCCCGTTTTATACGAAATCACTGTATTATTGCATTTTGGTCATTCTGGGGGTAAGAGCCAATCACGCACTTGCATGCCCAATTGGCGACCCCGGACAGTGCCAGGGGAGGGGGGAGGGCCCACGCCGGGCCCATTCTCCCTCTTCTCCCCCAGGTACTTGACCGCCAGAAATCATTCTAATGCCCTGGGCGCCAGGAATTTTACGACTGCGGGCCATTTTCCGAGATTTTGATCATGTCACAGCAGGTCAATCAAAATAGACGGCTGTTTCTGAAAATTGTGTCCTTGGACTAATAAAGGAATCCTTTTATGTGGGTCAACTTAAGGGTGCCAAGTGAATTTGGCGAAGACCTTGAAAATTGACATTCACCAACAAAGTTATAATTTTTTTAATTAATAGTATTAGACAGATGGTGAACATCGGTGACAATTTTAAAATTTTAGAACTTATGGATATCGAGAAATTAAATAAACAAAATCAGTCTTATACACGGCCCTTATGGAGTTTTGATTAAATTGAACGTTTCAACCCCCTAGGAACTCAGGAAAAATTTGAAAAAATTTGAAGATGTGGGGAATGATGTGTTCAATGTGATGGCGACAAAAAACAATGGGGTACCGGGGTGAATAAGAGAGATATTTCAACCCGCCGTACCCATTTGATCCCATGCTTTCTCGAGGTTCGTCACGCGAAATAGAGGATTTTCCGCATTTATTTTCTCGATGTCTAGTTCCGGTTGCGGGTTTGAAATTTCGTCGGATGGATGAATACATATTTCTCCAATGATGGAGGCAAAGAAAAAATTTTTTTTGAATCTTTTTTCAAATTCACTTGGCACCCTTGAGGGTGGACCGTACAATTGAAACCCCGATACACTGAGAGAAAAATATAATTCTTCTGACTATATTCCATCACCATCGAATTATAGTCAAAAAGTCCTCAACAATTTTTCATGAATTACGGTAACTATGGCCGGAGAAGTAATTACTACAATGGAATGTAGTCATTGCAACTATTTTATAGTTCTCCACACGATAGATTTGTCGTGGTTACTTTTGAACTTTGGTTAGTTTAACTGCATTTTGATTTGCAAAAATTACGCTTGTGAAGTTACTATGATGTTATGTGCCGCAAACAAAAAAAATCTCAGCGTTCACTAAAATGCCTCAACTATTTTCTTATCGTAAATCGAACTTCAGATTTTTCTTTTAGTGCAGGGCTAGCGCCTTCATCTATCGGGCCGGTGAATTAACTACGTCAGTTTCAGGGGGGAGTCACACCGCTTTTTCAAGTGCCACAAGTATCGAATGGGAAATTTCGGAAAGATTTTTCAATTTCCTCTTTATGTAAAATAAGTGGGAAATTGCTCTCGTAGTGGATACAGTGATCGCCAAATTTGTAATATTTTATTACGGTTAAATATTGTAGCCATCAATTAGATAACATCATTCGTGGAATTTTTGAAGCACCTAAATATCCTAAATTCAAATTTTCAACTATTTTATCAATCAATAATCGAGGTAGGAAGATTGATGATTACTTGTGTAATCGAAAATCCCCTTTCAAGAAATTTGGATTATTCATTTAGCAGTAAATTTACAGTTTCATATTAACAAATGTTAAATATATCATTATTCGTAAAAAGTCAGATTATTAATATTATATTATTTGAAAAATTGAATCAACATATTTTAAACCTTCAATAATGTAAGGGTCAAATCCTTGTAATATTACAGAAATTTAATATTGATGGGGATCCCTGTTTGGGTACAATATAGTAATTTTTGCAAATAAATCAGCAATATGCTGCCGAATGGTTATTTTGCGCATCGTCTCCTTCTGTCCTGTATAATTCATTCAAATTTCAGTGTTAGTTGATTTTTATTTCATCCTGATAAAAATTTCATTAGACAAACATTGGGATACGGAAAATCACATTGAAAACACATTAATTTTTATTAATTTTCAATTTTATTATGATTGTGAGAAAAAATGAGTTTATAAAAATTATGTTGAATTCATCAAGATGTTTGCCTGCTGACTCCTTTGTACATTTTTTAAAACGGAATTGAAAACGGGTAATATTGATGATCTTTAGCCCTGTGAACAAAGGAAAATCCCAGAAAAATAAAAATCAATCGCTGCTGTCTTCGCTTCGAAATGAATTTTTTTCCAAAGTAAACTTACTCGGGAAAACTACCCATGCGTTCTCCAGAACCCGCGGACTCGATCGTCTTCATCTCCTCCGATGTCAATTCAAAATCGAAAATGTCGATATTTTCTTTGATACGCGACTCTGTTACAGATTTGGGAATCGGTGCGGCGCCTTGCTGATACTGAGAACGAACGAACTATTAATCGGAAATATAATTCCCAGCGAGGATTGCTATTTTTTCTTAATTTAATAATGTACTGCACATTTTTTTTTACACACACTCGTGAACTTTACGCATGCCGTGCGGAAAACAAACGCTTCTATACACTAAACCGTTTCAAAAAGTGCACTTTTGAGGCTGGTATCACAGAAAAAAAATTGAATACAATTTTCAATAGAAATTCAATAGAAATCCGATATAATTTGCCGTCTAATTCGCTGGGTTTTCCCGCAAAAATTTTTGACTTGTTTAATTGTAAAGGAAAAAGGAATCGTTATAACAGTGTCAATTCGGGGATTTTGAACCTTTTGACCCATTCTGCCCTTGTGGGAGTGTTTCACGAAGGATAGGAGATTAGGGTGAATCGTTCCAGTGTTCGAACGAATAAGGTCACAGTTATTTTTCACGTAGATTTAAAAATATAACGAAGTCGAAAATTGATTTTAAAATAATTATAACTCCCCTGTAGATCTCCATAGATAATAGAAAAAAATATTATGGATATTAATTGACGATACAATTAATGATATGAATACAAAAAGCTGAAAATGTGTGAAAACCCAGTAATCGAAATGCGTATTCTGTAATGGGAATATGCTATTGGCGGCGTGTCATCGAAAACTGTTTTTTCCGCTGGTAATAAGATAACTTAGACATTTTCAATCATCACAATATCATTTGGAAATGTCATAATTTTATTTTTCATGTATAATGCGAGACATCTCTACCTTCTACTAATTTATTTTATAGAAAGAGTACCAATTAGTTCGATTACTGGTCTGGTTCGAACACTGGTTGGTTCCCCTATATAGCGTTCCACATCTTGTGACGTCACCGGATATTATTGCATAGGATTTTGGAGTAGGTGGAAGGGGCACTAGAATAATTCTCGATATTAGACATTCGTCCAGACAGGATGAGTCACTGAGGACGGGAGTTTATATAGCGTTCCACGTTTTGTGACGTCACTGGATATTGTGAGATAGGGTTTTGGAATAGGTAGGAGAAGAACTTGAATGACTCTCGATATTAGTTTACAAGGATAATTCACCAAAGACGCGTATTAATGTAAATCAGCTCATCTCGTTTTGCCATGCCATTCCTCGATTATAAAAAAAATTTCAACCACATTTTGTGGAACTGCCCCAAGTACGAAAACAAGAGGGTTAGAATGATGCAAAAGATTCGAAGATATATAGAATTACCACCTAACATCAACCGTATACTGTACTCATTGAAGCTACCTGTTATAAAAGCTATAGATAAGTTCCTGAAAGACTGTAACCTGAAAATTTAACGTCAAAACACAAAATACTCTGTAACAAATCAACAAGTGATACTGTAACCGCAATGTGAAGAACTATTTTGTAAAGCTAATAAAGCCTATACGGATTTCTAATGCATTAATAAAAAAAAAAAAAATGTCAATCACCCACCGAGGGAAAAACTACACAACTTACGACATATCTGCAGGCGATTTGAGCCGGTGTCTTCTTGTACTTCGCAGCAATGGCCAATATCTGAGGACTGTCCAAGGAATTGGCAACACCTCGACGATTCCCGGGTCTCCCCAGGGGTGAGTAACCAGTTACTGTGATCCCATGCTTCTTGCAAAACTCAATCAGTGGGACTTGATTAAGATTGACTGTCACTTCTACCTAGAATCACCTCAATTTATTAAAAGATTCAACACAAGGAGTGAAAATATATATCTGATAGGGGAGGGTCGGGCAAAATGGGTCGTGTTGAGATCTTTTCTAATTGACAATATTAATGACAGGTGTTGCTGCAGAGCCCGATATTATTGTTAAAGTATTTTGCAATTTTTAATCAATTAATATGTTGTCGTTGCTTCACGCACATTTTATTAGAGTTTATAGTGACTACGTACTAAACCTGTCAAGAGTCGCGATTTGACAATAAATTAGTATTGCTGAACTCTTCCAACATCCCATTAATTATTCCTCTTATTGTTAACCATGGAAATGAACAACGTCATCAATTGTCAATATCTTCATTTACAAGTGAAAATATTGAAAACTACACTGAGAGAAAAACAAACATGTTGTCAGACAAGTCTTGTTTAGGCCAACAAAATCGCTAGTTGAAAATTGCCAAAAAATAATTTGTTTGGTTCGAATTTAAAAGCCTTAAACACGAATAATTGTTTTCTTTCGACAGCAACAAAATATTTGGCTCAAGAAGCGGATAATTCACACCAGACGGTGCCTTTTCAGGATGAAAATATCTCATGTAGAGGAAAATTTATCAACAAATATTTTATCCCTAAGTTACAAGATTGCTATCATATTATTGTTGTTATATCATTATCATTGTTTAATTTAAGGGTTCATTTCTTGTCTGTGATTATTAGACAGCCGAAACGATAAACTACTATCCCTTGTTCCGCATAAAACAAAGATTTTTCGGGAGCAAAATACGTATGGGAGTGTCGAATAACGAAGGAGTAGTGCTAAAATAGTATATTTCGTAACGAGTGCAAAAAAGTGTTTTTTGGCGAGTGGGAGGTTTATATCACGAGCCGAAGGCGAGTGATATAATCCCACGAGCTAAAAAACATTTTTTCACGAGTTACGAACAATATTTTTCATCACATTGTGGCGGAAATTGGACTTTTAGGCACGCGGAGCGTGCCGAAAAGTTCACTTTTTGTCACAGCGTGATGAAAATGACATTTCTTGCGTGTACAGAGAATGCAATTTTTTTTGAACTACTAAATCTCTCTTTGCGACAAAAATTTTTCATTCAGGCGCACTCTCTGCAAGTTTGGCACAAAAACCCCTTTTTTGATCATTTTCAAAAAACTGTTTTCTTGGCACAAGGAAGACTTGTTTGAGAACTTTGTCGTTTTTCTCTCATTGTAGAGAAGAACACGAAACGTCCCATTTTGCCCGACTCTCCCCTATATCCGAGCAACGAGTCGTTTCATTTAACATAAGAAAAAAAAATCTTCTGTTGGAAATAATTGATTTATTTATTTATAATTCATTGATTTACGGCCGCGTAGTGATTATTGAAATTACCGGTCAGTTTGCATCACGAAGTGTGCGTTACGTCAGAAATTCTACGAAGCCAGTAATTTTACCATTGACTTGAGTCATGTAAAAATGACGAGAATTTTCGATTCCTAGGAGCAATAGCAATATGTACCTGGTTATTCACAGGCTTTATCGTGGCAACTTCCATGATTCGAGCTATTTGTTGAGAATTGAAATTACTGAGTCCAATGCTGCGGGCCAGACCCTGTCGAACACATTCTTCCATGCCCCTCCATGTCTCTAGGTAATCAGTGTCTGAGAACATGAGGCAATCGTTTGAATCCCGGGGCATTAGCTCCTCACTTTCCTGAGGGAAGAATTGATATTGAGATAACGAGAGCAATGCATTTGATAGGGGAGCTGGTGCATGTACCGCCCACCTGAGGGAAATGAGTCTTTTTTTCCAGCCTCGCACTCTACAAGGAGTCATAAATAGAGATGCGAATGACCCGTCATATGACGGTCATGTGACCGTCATTGACGGTCACATGACGAGGCGTTCATGACGGCTGTCACAATTCCCCCTCCCCCTTCTGTGACCGTCATAACTTGTCAAGAAAAAATGACAGTCATTTTTCATCTATATAGATGAAACTTTATTTTTTTCTCGGTCAATTTTCAGTTGAATTCCTTTTGTATTGGCCTAATCCGCATTTTGAAATGGAAATCACGTTTTTTTTCCATCCATATAGATGAAACTATTTTGTTTTATTCATGACCGTCACAAATTGGAAATTAGTTATGACCGTGATTATGCAACTATATAGATGGTTTGACAACAATTTGGTTACAAATGATTTGTGACAATCAAATGATTTGGAGTTGGAAAATTTGCGCGTCACATGATCGTCACAAGACCGTCATTTTTTGGTCATATGACGCGATCTAAAAAATGACGGTCATTTTGCATCTCTAGTCATAAACGGTTAAAATGGGTTCTTCGAGGTGTTTACTCGAAGATGTGAAGAGGACAGATTTTATTTTAACATTAAACATATTTAATTATGTCATTCAATTGCCATCGGCCAGTGAGCGATGGAATCCAACTTTGAGGGTAATACCGCCCGGCAGGCGTCCAGTACCGCCCACCTTGTTTTCATGACTTTTTTGAGCAATGCAGACCAACTGTTATAATTTTTCCTATTTTCATCCTTCGTGTCCATTCTTTGGCTCCATTTTGAGAAAGATTTCACGTGAATAATAATAAATTATCCTGAATTTACCCGATGTTCCAGTGGCCACCGACTACCCCAAACAATCGAGCTATCACTCGACCGTCCTCTAGCGGTAGCGTCTAGCAGCCCTGTAGAAACCCTGGGCGGCATTACCCACAAACTCTGGGCGGAATGACCCACAAACGCGGAGACTGATAAAATAGCCAATAATAACTGATGAAGATATTTTTCTGGTATCGAAAAGGTCGCAATGGATGTGGAAATGTATAACGAACGTACACTACGCACTCCATTCACTTACGGACCAATTGGAAATTTGAAAAATCTTCAATTCTGGGGTCGAAATATTGTAAGGATTCAGTAGGAAATGATTTGGATTTTTTTTCACATCTTTGTACGGTTGAAAATTGAAAAATTCTGATCAAATTACTTGTTGTTATCAAATATTTGCACAATAAAAAAGTAAAAAATTCTCAGCCAATGCTGAAAAATACGGGTGGGCGGTATTCACTGATCTTTGTACATTAGTTAACATAAAGATCAGTGGCGGTATTATAACGTCGTTGCATAAGCAAAGGGGCGTAAGTGGTGTATATGAACGTAACTCTCACGCCTCTTTGGCTCTACGACAACGATAAAGATTCTTTTTTTCTAGTTCTCTTTTCACTATTCATAAAAAAATTGTCGTGAAGTGGAATTCGTATTCTCGTTTTTAATGAATGAATGAATGAATGAATGAATGAATAAAATGATTATAAATACTTGCGAATCTAAAGCCATAACAAAAATATTCTGAATTATCATCCAAAAATCATGAAATGGAATTGGTTTACATTTTTACAACTTCACTGTTGAATTTATTTGAAGCGGTGAAACTGAATTGACTTTATCTAACAAATTATTACCTGAAAAGCAACTGGCCAATGGATCAGGTACAAATCCATGTAGTCAAGTCCCAAGTTTTCCAACGATTTCTTGCACGTTGGGAGGACTTTATCCTCAGCATGCGCTGTATTCCACAGTTTCGTTGTGACGAACAGATCCTCCCTCTTCACTGTCCCATCCTTGATCTTCTCTCTGATAGCATCGCCAACTTCTTTCTCATTTTTGTAATAGAATGCTGTGTCGATGTGACGATATCCGATATCAATTGCGTACTTCACAGCCCTCTCAACTTCACCCGCAACTGACTGCGCACGGAGAAAAAAGTTAGAGAAAAATTAACGAATAAGTCACGAAATCGTGAAGCGAGCTCGATTTTCACTACTGATTTTCAGAATTGTCCTTAAATTAAATTATAGTAAAAAATAATATGAATGTTAATAATAATATTAATTATATTATTATTATTTAATATATTATTAAATTATAATAATGATATGATAGCAATCTTGTAACTTAGGGGGAAAATATTTCTTGTTAAATTTTCCTCTGTATGAGATATTTTCATTCTGAAAAGGCGTCTCGTGTGAATTATCCGTATCTTGAGCCAAATATTTCGTTGTTATCGAAAGCAGAGCAATTAATCATGTTTGAGACTTTAAAATTCTAATCAAACAATTTATTTTTTGGTAAGTTTCAACTAGCGATTTTTTTTTCCGTTTGCCCGGAAAAATTTACAGAACGCGAGGGTAATTTGTGCTGAAACTGTAAAAGTTACCCTGCACTCCATCAAAAATTATCCCAGTGAACGTGATGATTGTTCAATATTGCGTATAATTTTACTGCAACGGAAAATCATTTTTTACCGAACGCGTTCAGTGCAATTTCACTTCCATTCGTCCCCACGGTCTTCAGATGGGCGCACTAATAATAATAGACTGTTCATTCATTCTATCCATTTATTCCAAACGAGAGTCGTTAAGGGGAGACTGCTATGAGTTTTTAAAATCATGGGTTATTGGAGTGAGACTTTTCATACGTTGAAAATCAATTATATAGATCTGAGAACGAATAATTAGTGCAAAAAAATTTTTTTATTGTTCGTTTACCCGAAAACGCTTAAAATGCCAAAAACAGTCCAGGGCCTCCAATTTTTGAGCTACGAAGGATTTTTTTTTTTCAAAATTTTCGGAAAAATATCCAACTTTTCTCTCCGCGTAAAAAACTTCGGTGATATAAAATTGATATGTGCATTCAAATTTGTATTTCCCGCGCACTATTTTTGCGCCAAAACATTTGCTATTGCGAGGATTACGTAAGGGCGTGATGCTCACACGAGAGAATGAGGAATTCGGCAAGTTATTTTCCAGTCGTTAATGAATAATAAAAATTGAGGATTCGTACCAGATAAGTACCGAGACCAAACATGGGCATGAAGTGTCCATTTGAGATCTCGATTTTTGGAACAGCTTGTGCAGACATTGTTGATATTCCGATTGTTTTTGTTGATGATGCGCAGTGATTTAGACGACTGCCGGACGGCAACTATTCTCCGGTGATTCCCCCACCACTGGATAGAGGAAGCTAGAAAATATGATCGCATAATATGATCAGCCCGATATTTCCGTAGCGAAGTGGTAAAACGGTTCAAGTCGACTCATCTCCCAGTTGAGTTTTTGAGGAATATTTCCGAATCTAAAGGAGATAGCGAAATTTTTGTAATTACATTTGTTGTAGCACTCAACCGGCTCTACAAAAAAGGTCATAACAAAAATTTTGCTGACTCCCTTAGATTCCGAGATATTCATTGGAAACTGGTCAATAGTCAAAATTGACTTGTACCCTTTCACCACTTCGCTACTGATTTGTTCTACTTTCCCAATTTACCGCGGTCGAAGTTATTTCAAACTAGCGAAAATGAAAATTGCTAGGGGAGGTAGTGCCTGCACCGCTCACCTAAGGAATGACGACTAATTTTAATAGAATACCAATCGAAATTCTGGAGAATTCCAATCAAATTATCTAGCGAATTCGCTAAGTTTTTCTATTGAATTTTTTCATACGTGGTGAATCGTGGTGCGAAATGTAATTCAATGAAAAAAGTATTTTAAGTATTACAAAAGTATGAAAGTATAAAAAGTATAAAAAATTAGTAAAAGTACTTTACTAGTGCGTAAATTTCCACTTTTCGCACGCACGTGTAACACATCCTATTGTTTGTGATACCTGCCGAGTTCACTGCTCGAAACGGTAGTGGGGGTAATGTAGTTGTTTTGTGCACGACTGCGTAATATTCAAGAGCGTGCGGAAAACAACCGTTTTACGCACATTAATAAACCGTTTCGAAATAGTTATTTATGGCACTCATGCCTGAAACTGGCTGGATTACACACTCGACGCTTCGCGTCTCGTGTCTAATTCAGCCGGTTTCAGGCTTCGTGACATAAAATTCTGTTCAGTACTTGTTGGGAAATTTCGTCCTTAACGTGTGTGGTTACATCACTCGCCTTCGGCTCATGCTGTAAACCCCACACACGTTAAAGACGAAATTGCCCCACACGTGGTGAAATATACTATTTCATCACAAGGTCCACAAAGTATTTTCTGACGAATGTGCTTAGAGGCCTCGCCTTCGGCTCGGCCTACAAAGCCATATTCGTCAGAAAATACTTTTGGACCGTGTGATGAATGCAATTTTTCGTCAGAAGGCCCGTAAATCGCGATCAAACCGAGCAAAGCGAGGTTAGAATCGCGGTTTACCGGGTCTTCTCACGAAATAGTTATTTTCATCACAAGGTCCACAAAGTATTTTCTGACGAATGTGGCTTTGTGGCCGAGCCGAAAGCGAGGCCTATAATCACATTCGTCAGAAAATACTTTTGGACCGTGTGACGAAAAGTATACTTTTGACGCAGGTGTCCCAAAAATACCTGTTTGCGGAGGATATTTCACGATTCGTTCGCTGAAGAAACCACACACGCATGAAAAAATGCAATAGAAAACCTAGCGAATTCGCTAGAAAATTCCATTGGAATTAGAATAAGAATACTTGGGCATCAATTTTCTACGTTTTTTCCACTCAGATTCTGTAATGCAAAATGAAACAAAAACCAGTGAAAAAAACTTGGAAAATTTGTGCCCAATGATTTCTAATAGAAAAAATCGCAATAAAAAATTTCCAACAGAAATTCGAAATCTATTGAATTTTTCTTATCGAATATCTAATAGAATCAGCGCAAAAAACAAATAGAATTTTTTTATAGAACGGAATTCAATAGAAATCCTATAGAAACCCCATAGAATTCTCATAGAATTCCAACAGAATTTTCCAGCGAATTCGCTAGGTTTTCTATTGAATTTTTTCAAACGTGCATGGGTGCATAAATGAATAAATCAATAATTCGTTTGTCAAAGTATAATGCAACAAATAAAGTTTATTAAAAAATGCTACATAGATTCATTAATTTGGTTTACTCATATTCTGTGTAAAAAGATCATTAAATCATATCGACGCGTAATATTGAAAAAACATCAACGTGTATCCCCACATAGGTGAAGGTGACACGCCAAAATTCCCGCCCCATATTTCCCTGGTCGAAATTCTCCCCGTCATTTCTCTTCCCGACATAATTCCTTCTTGTTAATATTCCTTGCGCCAATTCTCCTAACCCAATAATTCCTGCCGATAAAATTCTCCGCATGGCGTATTTATGCGGTTTTTTTGAAATTATATATTTGGTTCGTGAAAATCTCTATTCAAATTTCAATAACAGGCAAATGTGATGGCATTTCGAAGCGTAATGCACTCGGCGACGTGTGATTGGTAACTGATGGATCGTGGGATTGATATTTCCGTGTCCCCACTATACCTGTTCTGTATTTATTTTTATAATATGACACACCTGTTGAGTGCTTATTGTGATTCTAATGCCCAATCCGCCTACTATACAAGGCCTTTTTCAACTGATTTTGTGTTTATTTTCGTTTTGTCATTGAGATCCTTTGTTCGAGGTAGTTCTGTTGCGGGGGGATTTTCTCGCGGGGAATTTTGACCGGGGAATTTTGGTATGTAACCTAATCGATTGGATCGCTCACAAATACTCGGGATTTTATGCAGTAAGAGACAGCAAGATTTGAAGAACAGCATTGTTTTCATCCTGAAGTCCATTCGAAGTGCCTGTCCATCTCACCGAAATATTTCCCTTCGTCATACTCATTAGAACGGGATGGAGAATGGATAATATTTATGCTCTTTAGCCCTGCAAAAAAAATTAAATAATATTAAAGTATAGTAGCCGACCGTAATGGATGGATGAGTTAGGTGTCGCCTTAATTTACAAGGAATTAATAACGCCCGATATAGAGTCAGATGCTAACTAAAATATTAAAAGAATGTATTAACAATCACTCTGGCAAATGAATATATTGTCATGACTTATAAATCATAAATATTGTGATTTAATTATTACAGATGAATGGGGACTCTATAAAACCGTAAGTAGGAACGAAATATGAATACAAAAAAAAATATTAAAGCATAGAATGAATGTTAAAAATAGACTTACTCTTCAAAAGCAACTATTCGTTTTTTGTTTCCAACAGAGTCGATAGTTGTTACCTCCTCAGGTGTCAATTCAAAATTGAAAATGTCAATGTTCTCCTTGATACGTGACTCTGTCACGGATTTGGGGATGGGTGTAACGCCCAGCTGATACTAAAAATGAAAAAAAAAAACTTGGAAAATTCTTATAGAAAAAACAGAATAAGTCGTATAGAAAAATTATCATCCATTGACTTTTTCCTGTGAAAGAATATCTATTGAAATTATAGAGAAAAATCAACATTCATTGAATTTTTCAGTGGAAATCATCTGTCATCCGAATAGGATTTTAATGGAACCCCAATCGAATTTCTTATGTGTAATAGTATTCATTCACAATCTATGCCAGACAATTTTTCCAATACGTACCAGATATCGCAGGGCGATTTGGGCCGGTGTTTTCTTGTACTTCTCAGCGATTGTCTGCATTTTGGGATCGTCTAAGGAATTAACAACGCCATGACGATTTCCTGGTCTTCCCAGAGGTGAATAAGCAGTTACCGTGATGTTTTGCTGTTTGCAGAACTCGATCAAAGGGCGTTGATTGAAATTGACGTTCACTTCAACCTGAGATCATTTCAATGGTCAAGTGAGTGCAAGGAGTTGAACGTATATCGAAATAATAGATGATACCTGGTTATTCACAGGCTTTATCGTGGCGGCTCCCATGAGTCTCGTAATTTGTTGAGAATTGAAATTACTGACTCCGATACTGCGTACCAGACCCAAACGCACGCATTCTTCCATTCCCTTCCATGTGTCTAGGTAATCAATGTCTGAGAATAAGTACTTGCCGTTGGAATCTTTGGGCGTCAAATCATCGCCTTCCTAAATATTCAAATAAGAATTCAATTAAAAATTATTCAGTCGTTGAAGAACCGAACGACGGAAACGAGGGGAGTTGATTCCATTTGAAGATCAGTTTTGGTGGAATTATACTGTTGAAAATTTTGAGCTGAAACGTCGGGTTAACTTCTTGAGAATTTCTATCACGTTATCGTTTCACTGGAATTTCAAGGAATTTCGTCACTCGAAATTGCCAATTTTATGAACAAATTCATGGAAACTGGTAATTTTAGGTCAATTATTACATGAAAATTGATAGAACTCAGGAAAATTGAGGAGAATATATTCTCGAGTTGGAAATTAATTGAAAATAAAGTGTAATTAGAGGCTGAGTAGGCATGAAAAAATTTAAGAAAAAAACCTCTCATAAAAATTAGGAGTCAACATTTGAACTCATTGCGTTTGGAGGTCTTCCTATAGGTGAATTCTGTATTAATTCAATACGAAAGTCCCTGATTTATGATTCACTGGGCCGAAGCTTTTAGAATTTTTAGTCATTTTCTCATCTCCTGACTCAAAAAAAACAATTTTGTGCGCCAAGACATTCCCACTTTATCGTAAAGTATTCGTGTTTACTGATGAATACTTCACGCAATTCTTGTCCCCCCAAGTGATTTGTCCTCAAGAGATGATAGGGCTCAACAAATTCGTTGATTTCTCCCTCGATTCAAAGATATTGATTGATGTTGATTAACTATTGAATTGATGTAAAATAGAAAGAAATGGCAGGAAATCAATGACAAAATTCACCTTGAAGCCGAATGGCCAGTGAATGAGATACAAATCGACGTAATCAAGTCCCAAATTAGCCAGTGACTTCCTGCACGTCGGCACAACTTTATCTTCGGCGTGAGTGTTATTCCAGATTTTAGTAGTTATGAACAAATCCTCTCTCGTCACAGTGCCATCCTTGATTTTCGCACTGATTGCATTCCCAATTTCTTTTTCATTCTGGTAGAAAAACGCAGTATCGATGTGACGGTATCCATTGTCAATCGCGTATTTTACAGCTCGTTCAACATTTCCAGCGAGTGACTAGGGAAAAAAAATTCTTCGAGTGAAATTATTTTTCCCGGCTAAACGTACACATTACTAATTCTCTCAGTACTCCCAATAATAAAAAAAATTAATATGGAGGGAGAATACATAAAAAATACATGAGTTTGCAACGGAAAAAGATAAATTCACAAACCTCATAAGTGCCAAGACCCAGCATCGGCATGAATCGTCCATTCGAGAACTTCACTTTCGGAACCGTTGGTGCGGACATTTTTTGTACCTCAATTCTTCTCTGTTAAACTACTATCAATATAATTAAAATTTTGAAGATTAAAATCTGAAATAAATTCTCAACGAAAGAAAAATGAAAAAGAAACTTCTGATTGAGTTTGTGCTCAATTGACAGTCTAGTATTATTGATAATAATTATCTAGAAGTGAATGAATAACACACGAAAAATGTCTCTGCAAGAATCGAGAGTATATTTTAAAAAATTTTAGGATAATTTTTCTGCTTATTTTTCATGAACGGCGCAAATTTTGATATTAAACAAAACAAAACAATTGGCTGTGTAGGAGTCGAATTATAAAAATACTTATTCGTTTACAGAAATTCGTATACAGAAACTGTTAATGTACACATTTTTTTTTTAATTTCGAAAACAAGAAACATCTGTAGCTCAAAAATTGGAGACCCTAGACTATTTTTAACATTTTAAGCGTCTCCGGGGCAAACGAACAATAAAGAATTAATTTTCTGCACTAATTATTTGTTTTTAGACACATATAATCGATCTTCAATGCTTGAGGAATCTCACTCCAATAGCCCGCGACTTTCAAAACTCATAGTAGTCTCCCCTTAATTTCTTAACACTCATCAAAGTTAGAATTCACGGAAAAAGTTGTCAATGATGAATGATTTTTGAATAAAAAAAAAAATTTTAGGCTTCTTGAATTTATTTTTCCTCATTACACTTAACGACTCAACTGGAGTTTATTCATGCTACTCTAAGAGGCAACAGAAGGCTCTTAATTTTCCAAATTTTTGAACAAATTTCCTGCTGAAAGTTATCGATATTTTAAAAAATCGAAGCACATTAATCTCCAGAAGGTGATGATGAAGATCAATGTGCTTTGGGTTGACAAAATATTAACAATTTTGAGCAGGAAATTTGTTTAAAAATTTCGAGAAAACGATGGCCTTCTGTTACCCCTTAAGGACACGTTCTGTTTCTCACCGAATGCTATGATAACTTACGTACGACAGATCACTTTGAATTCGAATTTATACATCTCAATTGCCTGTTTACCGGACCCTATGTGTCCCACCATATCCTTTCCCACCTCAATTCCGACCACAATATCCCCTGTGCAACCATGAAATGCATTTATTTTTCTTCATTCTTACAGTTTAAAAACAATATTAATAGGGAACATACGTATTTTTTTATTATTTTTCTTTCTTAATCTATAAATTGTAACAATCTCCCCAATAATTTTTTGAATCGTCCAATTCGCATTTTTCAATGAGAAATCGTTGATTGAAAAGTGCACTTTTTGGGCGCCTCGAGTGGGCTGTGACGTCACAGCACTGTAGTCGCCATGCCTCACTCACTCTCGTAGCGGGAGTCGACAGAGCCGACGCGCGCTGTCTCTCGCACGTTAGCAGCCTAGTGTGACCGCCGTGCTGTGACGTATCAGCGTCCGAGTGCCCCGTCCGAGCGATCAACTTTCAACTCATTATTAACATTAATAATCCATATCAAAATCAAATTTTTTTCCATGGAATATTTTTTTTATGACCCATAGAACAAATTGAAAGGGGAATTTGATCAATTTGAACAAAATGTATGTTCCCTATTATAATCAATGTTATCTAAAGACTTCTCAAAATTTTCGCCGGTTCAAGTGAAATTCTTAACCAGAAAATTATGAATGAAATAGATTCGGACCGCTCTATCCCCCCCCGGGATGCAGAAAAATGACATAACACGTCACTGATTGGTCATAAGAAACGTCAGTGATGGTCATGTGAGAGGTGCAACCATGACAATCTGCCGTTACGTGACAAAAACGTGATTGTTTCATCATCTGATCGTCATATTCCATCTAATTAGTGGCATCTCAGTGGCATCTCAGGGGATACTAAATCGAAATTCAAAAATTTCCCCACGATAACTGCCATAGATCGACAATCAGAATGCGGTAAATCGATCGCGGTGAATCGCGATGTTAACATCATTGCGGGAAGTCCTCCTTTAGTTGAAATTGAAGTTTAGATTTGCCATAAGGAGGGACACAGTAGAAACCCCAATTTCATGGGGCACTTTCATATGTCGGCGATCTTCGCGAGAAATCGCAAAGTTCATACTTCGCGTTCAAGCGAAGGGGGAATTTTCTAGCGAATTCGCGGTTGTCTGTTTAATTTTTTCATACGTGAACACGCGCCTCAGTCGTCCTAGTTATGAAATCAATGAAATCCTCCGTTCCCAAATAAATAATCAAGTACTTCTCTTTTAATAATTAAAAAAACTTCTTTTTTGAATTTCATATTGTCAATAGTTTAATAGTTTTTCTCGAAGAAAGAAGGTTGCGACGAGATCAGAACAATATTGATGATTTTCGAATACGGTACAAATACGTGTCGACGCGAGAAACGAAATGGATATCCATAAAAAATAAGGGAGAGTACTTACCTCGGCGCCGGACGGAAGAGAACAGAGAGCTAGACAAGGTGTCAATCTGACTCGTGCCTCTCTATTCACGTCGTCACTTTCATTTTGATGTCTGTGTTTTTAAATCCCTAGACTTTATCGGTAATTTCGCTGATTATTTTTCCAACCCAAATATCGGGCAATATAATTGGCCCATTCGACATCACGTGGTACAAGCTACAGGGTTTTCAACTGATAATTTTTTAATAATTTTCTCTGGTAGTTGTTATATAAAAAACAAAACATCATACAGTCGAATTAACCCCTCGTCAAACTGACAGATTGAATTCAATTGTGGTAATTCGAGGATTTTTATTCGAAATGAGTAGATTCGAAGTTCATTCCCTGAAAATTATTTAGAATTGATGAAAAAGTAAAGGGGTATATTCCCGTCAATACGGAGAAAACGAAGAAGACAATTTGGAATCAATTTACCAGTTTTTGTGGTGAGAGAAACTACACATTGAGTGCTGACACGAGTGAAGCTCAATTGTGAGTTTCGTCTCATGGTCCAATTATATTGCCCGACATTTGGATTGGAAAAATAATCCCCCGAATACCACACGAGCTTCAAAATTAATCGGGCATTTTCCTCAAGGTTCCCTGCATACAAACGAAGTCGTCAAGTTTTTTAGGAAAAATCACTCGTGCTTCGCGCTAGTGATTTTTTAACGTGAAAAACTTGACTCCTTCGTTTGTTTGCAACGAATCTATCTGAAAATACCCGATAATTTTGAAGCTCTTGTGGTATTACAAGTGATTATTTTACCTATCGTCGTATTTCTCATTCTCTGTGATATTCAAATTTTAATAATCCTAGTTTTCGGAAGAGTATTGAAACAAGTTTTCGGGAAAATCTGGGAATTCCTCCTGCCATAGCGCGTTGTTCCTCAGGCGGGTCTCAATAAATAAATAAATCAATACTTCGGTATAAAAAAAATAGTATAATACAAATAAAGTTTATTAAAAAATGCGATACAGATTCATTAATTTGGTTTATTGATATGCTGTGAGAGGCGATTATTAACTCATACTCACAAGTAAACATTAAATTCACATTAAAAAAAACATAAAGAACAGAATGATACAATAATCACATGTCACAATCGATTGAACTGCTCACAAGTATCCCCAATCCGATGCAGCAAGAGACCAACAAAAGCGCTGTTTTCATTCTGAATTTCATTCGAAATGACTGTCTATCTCGCCGAAATATTTCTCCTTCTCATACTCCTTAGAACGGGATTGAGAATGGATAGTATTTATGGTCTTTAGCCCTGCAAACAAAAAATGATAATATGGAAATATAATATGAATGTTATGAATGAACTCACGCCTCAAAAGTAAAAATGCGTTTTTTGGTTCCAACAGAGTCGATGGTTGCCACTTCCTCAGGTGTCAATTCAAAATTGAAAATATCAATGTTCTCCTTGATACGTGACTCGGTCACGGATTTGGGGATGGGTGTAACGCCAAGCTGATGCTAAAAATGAAAAAAAACTTGGAAAATTCTTGTAGAACAAACCCAGCAGAATAAGTTGTATAGGAAAATTAACATCCATTGACTTTTTTCTGTGAAAGAATATCTATTGAAATTATAGAGAAAAATCAACGTTCATTGAATTTTTTCAGTTAAAATCATCTATCATCCAAATAGGATTCTAATGGAACTCCAATCGAATTTCTTATGCGTAATAATATTCATTCACAATCTATGCCAGACAATTTTTCCAGTACGTACAAGATATCTCAGGGCGATTTGGGCCGGTGTTTTCTTGTACTTCTCAGCGATTGTCTGAATTTTGGGATTATCTAAGGAATTAACAACGCCATAACGGTTTCCTGGTCTTCCCAGAGGTGAATAAGCAGTTACCGTGATGTTTTGCTGTTTGCAGAACTCGATCAAAGGGCGTTGATTGAAATTGACGTTCACTTCAACCTGAGAGCATTTCAATGGTCAAGTGAGTGCAAGGAGTTGAACGTATATCGAAATAATAGATGATACCTGGTTATTCACAGGCTTTATCGTGGCGGCTCCCATGAGTCTCGTAATTTGTTGAGAATTGAAATTACTGACTCCGATACTGCGTGCCAGACCCAAACGCACGCATTCTTCCATTCCCTTCCATGTGTCTAGGTAATCAATGTCTGAGAATAAGTACTTGCCGTTGGAGTCTTTGGGCCACAAATCATCGCCTTCCTAAATATTCAAATAAGAATTCAGTTAAAAATTATTCAGCAGTTAAAGAACCGAACGATGGAAACGAGGGGAGTTGATTCCATTTGAAGATCAGTTTTGGTGGAATTATACTGCTGAAAATTTTTAGCTGAAATGTCGGGTTGACTTTTTAGGAATTTCTATCACGTTATCGTTTCGCTGAAATTTCAAGGAATTTCGTCGCTGGAAATTGCCAATTTTATGAACAAATTCATGGAAACTGGTAATTTTAGGTCGATTATTACGTGAAAGTTAATAGAACTCAGGAAAATTGAGGAGAATATATTCTTGAGTTGGAAATTAATTGAAAATGAAGTGTAATTAGAGGGTGAGTAGGCATGAAAAAATTTAAGAAAAAAACCTCTCATAAAAATTAGGAGTCAATATTTGAACTCATTGCGTTTAGAGGTCTTCCTATAGGTGAATTCTGTATTAATTCAATACGAAAGTCCCTGATTTATGATTCACTGGGCCGAAGCTTTTAGAATTTTTAGTCATTTTCTCATCTCCTGACTCAAAAAAACAATTTTTTGCGCCAAGACATTCCCACTTTATCGTGAAGTATTCGTGTTTACTCATGAAAACTTCACGCAATTCTTGTCCCCCCAAGTGATTTGTCCTCAAGAGATGATAGGGCTCAACAAATTCGTTGGTTTCTCCCTCGACTCAAAGATACTGATTGATGTTGATTAACTGTTGAATTGATGTAAAATAGAAAGAAATGGGAGGAAATTAATGACAAAATTCACCTTGAAGCCGAACGGCCAGTGAATGAGATACAAATCGACGTAATCAAGTCCCAAATTAGCCAGTGACTTCCTGCACGTCGGCACAACTTTATCTTCAGCGTGAGTGTTACCCCAGATTTTAGTAGTTATGAACAAATCCTCTCTCGTCACAGTGCCATCCTCGATTTTCTCGCGGATTGCATTCCCAATTTCTTTTTCATTGTCGTAGGCGAAAGCAGTATCGATGTGGCGGTATCCGTTGTCGATCGCGTATTTAACCGCTCGTTCAACATTTCCAGCGAGTGACTAGGGAGAAGAAATAGAGAAACATTACCGTTTAAAAATAAATATATGAAATGTTCTCACACTTATGTATTAAATTTTTATATACGAGACTGAAGGCGCGCGCCGCGCGCCTGGCAATTCTATAGATTTTATACGATTCATCACGTTAATATTTTAGTAGGTTGGATCAATTTAAGTATGCGAATTTTTATAGCATTACTAAGGAGAAAATTTTCGAAATCCATGAAAACTTCAATTGAGTACATACTTCGGTGGAAATCATTAACACCATCATCGTCGTCAGTAATCGATATTCTCGACATTATCAACAAAATCAGTATCATCATCATGTATGGAATTTCTCTTTCAGATATTTAGAAATAAACGTGTGGCATCTCCTTTTTATATAAGAATATATATACAAATAAATAATTAACCGCTCGCTCCAAAAATAATAATAATAATAATAATAATAATAATAAAATTATAATAATATTTATAATAATTATTATTTAATAATAATTATTTTAATAGTTATAATTCAGTAGTGAAGCGGTAAACCGGGTTAAGTCGATTTTGACTTTTGATCAGTTTTTGATAAATATCTCGGAACTTAAGAGAGATAGCAAAATTTTTCTCATGACCTTTTTTGTAGAACCAATTAAGGGCTATAAAAAGGTCATGACAAAAAAATTTCTATCCCTTTTAGATTCCGAGATATTCGTCAAAAACTGGCCAATAGTCAAAATCGACTTAACCCGGTTTACCGCTTCGCTACTGAATTATTCAAATAACTATTATTTTTATAATTTGGCGTGCGATATATATTTTAGAAAGATATATATTTGCGATTTTTTGGAGCTCGAATCGCACGTCAAATTGATTGACTTGGAATTTTTATTAACTCGTTTTGATCATTTTATTTTCATAATTTCGTCGGTTTTCCTCAGTTGTATTCAGAACGTCTATGTATTTATAGTGCTTGACATATTTTGTGATTTCACCACTTTTTGTAAACAGAAGGCTCGTACCCGTTCCTGGCGGGTATTTTTGCAAAAAATTATTTTCTTTTTTGGGGAGATAGAATTACGCTGTGTGCAATAAAAATGAGGAATTGACATACCTCAGAGGTGCCCAGACCCAACATCGGCATCGACCGCCCATTCGAAAACTTCACTTTAGGAACCGCAGGTGCAGGCATTGTCGGTTCTTCGATTGTTTTTCGTTGAATGGAAGTAACTGCTACCCGGGTACTTGAATATTTCCACAATGGATCGTTTCGGACTTGCTTTTATGCATTTCAATTTCCTGTTTACCATTCTTCATGTCCCCAACCGTAATGTCTCTCCACAATTTAACTCCGACCACAATATCCTCTATGCAGCCATGAAATTGAATAATATTTTTGGATGAATCCTGCGGTTTCATCGAATACGAAATTATGCGTTTTTCAAGAAACTTTTTCGGTACACGCGGAAAATAATTTTATAGAAAAACCTAGCGAATTCGCTAAACGATTCTATTGGATTTCTACTGAACTTTCTGTCAGTTTTGGCAGATTCTATTGAAATATTCTATAAAAAAATCAATAGAATTCGATTTTTCTGCACAACTTATTCTATTGAGAATATTTTCTATAGAATTTACTCGGCTCCAATTTTCCTCAACAAATTTTTTCGTTTGATTTCACGCATGAAAGATTTTAATAGAAAAACCTAGCGAATTCGTTAGAAAATTCTATTGGTTTTCTATAGAACTTTATACTAGTTTTATTATTAGAAAATATTCATTAAAAAAGTCAATAGAATTCGATTTTTCTATATAATTTATTCTGTTCAGATATTTTCTCTCTAGAATTTCCTCGGCTGAAATTTACCATTTTTTTCACTCTATTTTTCTTTTCTTATCAAGAAAATCAAAAAAAAAAATTGGAAAATTTGAGCTGAGGAAATTCTACAGAAAATATTTCAATAGAAACGGCCAAAAACTAGTGGAACGTTCAATAGAAATACAGGAGGATTTTCTAGCGAATCCGCTAGGTTTTTCTATAAATTTTTTTCGTGCGTGTGTTGTCAAAAAATATGGCAACAGATATAAATTAATTAATTGAAGAGAAGAACCATAGAGTGGACAATGCCTAAAAAATTCATGTCGTGGAATTCCTATAGAAAATATTTTAAAAGATCAACTTTTATAGAAAGATTAAACTAAGGTTTTTGTTTCTATAAAATAGTTTCTATTGAATATTTTCAACTCGAAAAAAACGCACAATGAAGCTGCAGCTTTCTTCCGTAAATTCGCCCGAAAACTGATAGCATTGTCAATAGAAGTTATGGAAACATATAAATTAAGCAGAAAAAAATTTACCCAGTGCTAACGAATAAAAAAGTACACAAAGAACTTAAATTTTTCACTACAAATGTCTTCAGGTATTGCAATCGCTACTGAGAAAAACCCTTGCGAACTACTAATCAATTAGTATTTTCCATACTAATTTATGCAATAGTCTACGATTCACATTTGATTGAGGAAAACCATGGAAATGACCAATTACGTAAATTCCTTCTCAACCTGGAATGATATTAGACTGTTTCTTCCTAAAAAAAATCTACAAACTAATCAACATTATTTTTTTAAATAATGTCATATTATAATGACGTTCTGTAGAAAATTGCAAACATCTTCCAATAGTCACTCTTATTGTTCATCTCGATATTCTGTATTCCACGACTGATAATAAATAAATTCTCCGCCCCTTTAATTAACTAATTACACGACTGCATCACTACGTAACAACAGGAAAAAATGAGAAATTGTTCTTTTCCCTATTTGTTTATTAATTGTATTATATCATTCACAGAATCACAATTTTATTTTTTTCTTATTTGGAGAAATTTCTTCCTCAGATTCGTCTTCGTCTTCACCATCTTCATCACTTGCAGGGGATTCTTCAGTGATTTTTATCGCAAATACAGCTTTTCCAAAACGTCTTCCTTCTGCAAAAGACAGTGAAAGAATATTGAAAATGCAAAAAACACGTTAAATGGAGTTTAATAGAGTTTAATTCAGTAGCGAAGCGGTAAACCGGATTAAATCGATGTTGACTTTTGGCGAGTTTTTGATGAATATCTTGGAATCTAAGAGAGATAGAAAATTTTGTCTCATGACCTTATTTATAACCCGCAAGTGGCGCTACAAAAAAGGTAATGACAATAATTTTCCTATCTCTTTTAGATTTTGAGATATTCGTCAATAACTGACCAGTAGTCAAAATCGACTTAACCCGGTTTACCGCTTCGCTAGTGAATTAAATAATCCCATTGGTAATTGGAGAATTATTCAAACGCACCAGCTTTGAGAATGAGATGATGACACTGTCCTAGAACCGCAGCCTTTGCTTTGACCTCACTGAGACCAAAAAGAGCACCACTGAAAATCAATTCCTGAAGTTAAGGATTGAGAACTAAAGAATTATTAATTTTTAATTTTAATCTCAAAAGGATACAGGTTGATTATATCATAGGGATTCCTGATCATCGTGTAGTCACCAGTGCCACTGGAGACTATAACATTCTGCAACAGAAATTAAACCAGAAATTTTGTGAATATGTAATCTAATAGGGATGGAAGGATAATGTTCAAAGATTTTTTTGCAGACTATTTCATGATCTACAGAAAAAACCTTTTGATGATTTTATCTTAATCGACTAGGTTCAAAGATATTTCAGAAATACTTTGGCTGGAATTTTTCAATCACGAGGGAACAAATTTCATAGAAAAACTCAGTGAATTTCATCGAGAATGTTATGGGATTTCCAATGAATTTTTTCCTGTACGTAAAATGAAGAGGTCCAATAGAAACTATTTTTTAGGGGAGGGTAGGGTAAAATGGACACTTTAGACTTTTTTTAAATTATTCATAACTCAGAAACAAATGTAACGATAGAGCTCAGTTTAAACTCATCACAAAGGGAAAGAATTGTTCTTTGTATTGAAGAAAAAATTATTAAATTTCCTCAACATTTCAACCAGTCACTAATATTTTTAAAAAAGTCAAAGGGGTCCATTTTACCCCAACCTCCCCTATAGATAAAAGTAAAATTTTATTGTTCTATACAACTTTTTCGATTGAGACATTCTTTTCAAAACTTGGATTTCCAATTCATTTCAAAACTTAAGGCCCGGGTGTACTATTTTTCGAACGTGATCTCGATGTTTTTTTTTATCTTTCATCAGCTGAAATTATCAATTAAGTCCTGCATCATGTAGAAGTTTTCAAAAATTATGAATGAATAATAAAAAAAAATAGAAAAAATTCTTAATTTTTTCAAAGAGCATTTTCAATTTATATTCAGAATAAGTTGAATAGCAAGAAATTGAAAAATGTATCTGATTTACGGTGACAAATGGTGGCCTGTCACCCAATATCATGCAGGGGGAAGCCTGATTTCGTAAATCTTTTCCCACACTGCACAGAGACATTTATTACGGAAGAGGCTCTTTGAAAAAAGTTGTAATATTTTGGAGAATTTTTTAATCACACTTTTATCACATAAAAATGGCAGATGACTACATACCACTGTTTTGAAAATTGAGATACCTAGCTGTCACTTCTCATGAGGAGTTAGTGTTTTGTTATCCACCATGGAAAATGACAGCTAATAGATAATTTGCCACAGCGAATCAGATATTTGTAATTTCCACTTTTTTCACCTCATTCTGAATCTCAATTAAAAACGCTCTTTGAAAAAGTTCAGAATTTTTTCAATTTTTTTCATCATTCTATCATAATTTTTGGGAATTTCTACATGATGTACCACTCAATTGACAATTTTGGATTACGAAAGATAAAAAAACCCATATAACATTCGAAAGATAGTACACCCGGGGCTTAAAATGAAAAACATGAATGAACAATAAAATGAAATGAGAATAAATTTGAACGATCACAAAGCTTCCACTGGGAAGCAAAAATGTAAAAATATAAACGAAAATTAGAAAAATTCCTAATGAACACAGAAAGAAAATCTACTCACTCTACTTTTCCCATAAACATGGAACAGATGTGAGTAATGAATGGCACTTTTTCTGGTGCTCCTCTCTATAACATCAGCATATCGAATTTCGAAGTGAACTCCTCTCTCAACAGCCTGCAGGTACAACTTCCTTGTGAACTTGAAACTACCACTGGAGGAATTGATGGTCACGATGTCGACGTTGACCTGGGAGCATGCGAATTGCAGAGCTGCTTGATTCTTCGGCATCACTCCGTAGAGGTCGAACTTCTTGAGACCAGTCGACTGGCCCAACGTGTACGTTTTCGCAGTGTCTGCGAAGGTGAAGGTGAGCCTACTAAGGATGCAGAGTTTTTTCTTGAATTCATTTTTGATGTCTTCGACATCGAATGGATTTATTACAGTTGCAAGGGGATCCTTGTTCTCGGTCTTCTCTCCTTTCTTCTTCTTCTTTTTCTCAACCTCGAGGGCACTCTCGTCTAGTGTCTGGTTTATTGCAACTGTTCGATATCCCACTGGATAATAAAATGATTATTACAATTTATTTTCGAACTTCTGGAATTTTGTTCGTGATTTGGAAATTTTTTCTTAATTTAAGGCCCGGGTGTACCATCTTTCGAACGTTATCTCGATTTTTTTTTTCATCTTTCGTCATCTGAAATTGTCAATTAAGTCCTGCATCATGCAGAAGTTTTGAAAAATTATGAATAAATAATCAAAAAAAAGTAGAAAAAATTCTTAATTTTTTTGAAGAGCAGTGAGCTCAGTTGATAAATCGGTTTCTGAGTTATGAATATTTTTTAAAAAGTCAAAAGTGTCCATTTTACCCCACCCTCTCCTATAGGGGTTTTTTTCCACTTTTTTTTCATTTTACCCCTATAGGGGAGGGTAGGGTAAAATGGACACCGACTTTTTTTCAATTGTTTATAACTCAGAAACAAATTTATCAATTGAGCTCAGTTTAGGTTCGTCATAAAGGGAAAGAATTGTTCTTTGTATTGGAAAAAAAAATTATCAAATTTCATAAACATTTCAACCCCTCCTTAACATTAAAAAAAAAGTCAAGTGTCCGTTTTACCCCAACCTCCCTCATAACTTTGTACTATAATATACTGCAGTGACCCTGTCATTGGCCTTTGTCTGTTGGGTCTACATAAACATACTAAATAAATAAATAAATAAATAAATAGAATAAGTTGTACAAAAAATGCAATTCTATCGACTTGTTCCACAGAATATTTTCTATTGACCATTTCACTAGAATCGGCCAAAAACTAATAGAAAGTCCAATTGAAATCCAGTAGAATTGTGTAGCGAATTAGCTAGGCTTTTCCACAGAAAATGTTTTCAATAGAAATTCAGCAGGATTTGCTACCGAATTCGATGGGTTTTCTATGAAATTTTTCGTGCGTGATATATTCATAAAAAATTATAGACTGCAGACACGTTTGCAGCACATACTTTCATATAGCCGCGATAAAAGTCGCCTCAAATTCTCTTTGTTGCCTCCATCGAAATTGATACACAAATCGTAAAAACCAATACACGACATCTTCAAAAAATAAGTGTGCGATTTATTCAGGACGATTTATTTTCGCTTCTAATGTTGACATTTACACGTGACACTCGGTCTTCAAAACACCCCCATAACCTAATCCTGCATTGTTGCTCACAGGAAAGGCTAGGTCGCGGGAAAGGTTGGGTAATGGATTCAAATCGAATCGTGTTCCACTGTTTATTTACATTAAATCCTTCTTATAACAATTAATTATGTTTTATCGTTAATGATGACCTGTGCTACACGCAACTATAATCGTGTCCCAAATATCTTGTTATAGGGGAGGGTAGGGTAAAACGGACACTTTTGACTTTTTTTTTATATTCATGGCGTGTTGAATTGTTCATGAAATGAAATGATTTTATTTTTCACTTGAAAAACAATGATTCCTCTTTGTGATGAGCTCAAACCGAGCTCAATTGATAAATCTGTTTCTGAGTGTTTTTTAAAAATATTCATGGCGTGTTGTATTGTTCATGAAATGAAATGATTTTATTTTTCACTTGAAAGACAATGATTCCTCTTTGTGATGAGCTCAGACTGAGCTCAATTGATAAATCTGTTTCTGAGTGTTTTTTAAAAATATTCATGGCGTGTTGAATTGTTCATGAAATGAAATGATTTTATTTTTCAATTGAAAAACAATGATTCCTCTTTGTGATGAACTCAGACTGAGCTCAATTGATAAATCTGTTTCTGAGTGTTTTTTTTTTATTTCATGGCGTGTTGAATTGTTCATGAAATGAAATGATTTTATTTTTCAATTGAAAAACAATGATTCCTCTTTGTGATGAACTCAGACTGAGCTCAATTGATAAATCTGTTTCTGAGTGTTTTTTTCAAATATTCATGGCGTGTTGAATTGTTCATGAAATGAAATGATTTTATATTTCACTTGAAAAACAATGATTCTCTTTGTGATGAGTTCAGACTGAGCTCAATTGATAAATCTGTTTCTGAGTGTTTTTTAAAAATATTCATGGCGTGTTGAATTGTTCATGAAATGAAATGATTTTATTTTTCACTTGAAAGACAATGATTCCTCTTTGTGATGAGCTCAGACTGAGCTCAATTGATAAATCTGTTTCTGAGTTATGAATATTTTTAAAAAAGTCAAAAGTGTCCATTTTACCCTACCCTCCCTTAATCATGACAATAGTTCGTTCGAATCTTTTTTTTTTCATTTGTAACTTCATAACGATTGACAACCCAGTCGGTTTTTTTCTCAATTTAAGGGGCAACGGAACCCCTGCGTTTATATGAATCTTTAGAACTGTGTTTTCTCCGGCAATTATTATTTTTTATTCATTAAACTACTTCATTGACTCAACAATGCGATAATCGAGCCGACAAAGTAATTTCATAGAGAGAAATTAATAATTGCAGGAGAAAACACAATTCTAAGATTTGATGTAGACAAAGGGGTTCCGTCTTCCCTTAAGGATATTCAAGTATGTTTTACAGTTTGGTACAGACACTATATTCAACCATTTTAAATCATCAAATTTGTCAATTAAATTGTGTGAGAAAGATTTGAAAAAAAATCATGACTATTTAGCGTAATTAAAATTACATTTTATACAGAATTATTATTTTTTAAAAATTCGTCGTGCTATTTCTAAAAAATTCTATTTGTTATTTCTGCCGATTTCTATTCAAAATTCAAATTTCGCCAACTGATTTCCCGTAGTCAATAGATTTCGACTCTTCTATATGAATTTTATCCCGATTTTTCTTATAAAAAAACTTGTGAAATTCATGCCCATTGATTCTCATAGAAAGAATCACAGCGGAAAAAGTTATACAAAAAAATCTCCACGTATTGACTTTTATATTTAAAAAAACGCTTGGTAATGATGCACCATTTGCGTCATTTTAGAATTAGCGGAAAAAATAAATAGAATTTTCCATAGAATTGCCATAGAATTCTTGTAGATGTCCAAGTAAGAAAAAGATCAATAGAATTTTTTTTAAACGAAAACGTAAAATTTTTCTGCTCAATTTCCCAATACATGATTCATCAAAATGTATTGCAGTTTGTTTATACTTCCTTTTTGTTTCAGGACATACAGCATACACCCAATTGAATGCAGATTTTAATATTCTTTCTTTCAATATCATGATTATCCAATGAATGTTAAGAGTAACTACTTTCCAATCTAACAATCGATGGTTTCGTGGTAATTGTCGGGGTCTTGTGAGGCTCGTCTATTTTTACAAATAAGAAAAATGCAAATGAATGATGAATGTTCAATTCAATAATCATGAGGAAACGCAATTGGTCAAGTATCAAATTCTTGTTAAGCAAGAGATTATTTCGAGGACAAGTTATTCAAAAGCATTCAACATTTCCTCTTCAATCTACTCATTTTTCAAATTAGTGAAATTAATTAAATTAAACTTGAATTGAATAAATTAATTATATGTTGTATTTCATTTATTTTTATTCATTTCATTCAAAAATCTATTAATTATTAAAGGGAGAAATGATTTCAGAATGAAATGTCATATGAAAAGAGTCTCGTGACGTTCTCTTGCAAAATATTCATCCTCACGACATTTCAATGGCCAACAGAGTGACATACATAGACCAATAACATTTTCCCTCATTCATGACCAATCTATTTCCTTAAATTCAATCTAATAATTCCGAGTGAATGCGAATGTCATTACAATGCGTCAGAGGAAAGATAAATTTAGTTTACAGGCAGATTTTCCTTCTGTTTATTATAACAATTGATTAATATCACTTGTATATTCATTCATTAAATTTGATACAAACAATAGATTCTTAAATTTTACAATTACAAAGGGAACGAAAATAAATGTGAAATAAAACATCAATGCATTAATGGACAGGACAATAAGCTACATCCTCACTTAAATATTTCTTACATCTTCAATGATTTCATTACTGCATTACTCTTTTGGTTTCAATAAATTTAACGCTCCTAAAATTCTAAACTACAAACGTTTATCTTTACTCCCGTGTAATTACGTGAATTTTAGAAATACCCACTATTGTTAAAAATCGGTTCCACTCCCCCAATGATTAATTATAACTTCATAAACGTTTTCACCTCGCAGTTTAGAAAAAGGTGCTAAATTCGTTGATCTTTACAATTCTCAAATGCTTGATCATTACTTTTGGAACATCGAATTTGTCCAGTTCAAACATATACACGTGACTGAATGCACATCAATAAATCATGGAAGTAAAGACACAAAATAGACTATTTCTCCATTACTTTGACTTCCATGGGGAAGGTTACTCAAGGCATCTTCCATTATGGTTTACATATTAATCATTTTATTTTCATTGCGATTTAAATTAATAAAACTTCTCTCTTAAGGGCGGTAATTAGAACTATTTAGGCCCAATCTTGTGATTCATTGAGACGGGCTTAAATCATCAATCCCACATTCTATAAATATCTTTTTGAATTTGAGGAAACAACAAAATTGTGAATTCATTTGAGGCAAATGTCACTAATTACGTTTTGTTAAGTTTAGAAAATTCTCTGAAAAAATGGCTTTTGATATTTCTTACGAAGTAATTGCAGGAGAATCAATTATTTTATTTTTTTAAATGTTCAAATGAGAGATATTTCAACAAAATGGACAATAACGTTAGATTTAACAGTTTGTTAAACATGAAATTATTTTTATAACGAAGAATTAAAAAGCTAAATATTAAATGTCTTCTTTTCAAGAGACTCGTCCCAATCTCCACAGCTTTTTCCGCTCTAAAATCACTCATCAACGAGGAGAACCAGTTGAACACGAGTAGTTGAACACGAGAAAATAATTTACATTCTGTCAAGTATTTAGTTGACGAGTGATTCTACAACAAAATGTAATGCCCTAAAACCCCTCATCAATGAAGAGAATCAGTCAAAAACTAGTTGAACATAAAGAAATGATTTGATTTTTTGAAATGTTCAGATGAGGAGTGATTTTACAACAAAATGCACAATAACGTCACTTTTGACATTTTAGTAGACATAAAATTATTTTGATAGCGAATGATTAAAAAGCGAAATGTTGAATATCTTTTTTTCAAGAGAATTGTTTCAATTTCAACAGGCTTTTTTGCTTTAAAATCTCTCATCAACGAATAGAATCAATTGAGAGGTAGCTGAACATAAGAAAATGATTTAATTTTTTAAATTTTCAGGTGATGAGTGATTTTAACAAAATAGACAATAAAGTCACATTTGACATTTTAGTAAACATGAAATTATTTTGATAGCAAATGATTAAAAAGGAAAATGTTGAATATCTTTTTTCCAAGAGAATCTTTTCAATTTCAACCGTTTTTCTGCTTTAAAATCACTCATCAACGAGTAGAATCAGTTGAGAAGTGGTTGAACACAAGAAAATAATTTACAGTCTGTCAAATATTTAGTTGACGAGTGATTTTATAACTATAATATACAACAGAAAGGACTAAAATAACAAATTTGACATTTTGTTAAACATGAAAATATTTTGATAACGAATGATTAAAAAGCAAAATGTTAAATATCTTTTTTTCAAGAGAATCTTTCAAATTTCAACAGTTTTTCTGCTGTAAAATCATTCATCAATGAATAGAATCAGTTGAGAAGTAGTTGAACATAAGAAAATTATTTCATGTTTTTAATGTTCAGGTGATGAGTGATTTTAACAAAATAGACAATAAAGTCACATTTGACATTTTAGTAAACATGGAATTATTTTGATAGCAAATGATTAAAAAGCAAAATGTTGAATATCTTTTTTTCAAGAGAATCTTTCAAATTGCAACAGTTTTTCTGCTTTAAAATCACTCATCAACGAGTAGAATCAGTTGAGAAGTGGTTGAATACAAGAAAATAATTTACAGTCTGTCAAATATTTAGTTGACGAGTGATGTTATAACTATAATATACAACAGAAAGAACTACAATAACAAATTTGACATTTTGTTAAACATAAAAATATTTTGATAACGAATGATTAAAAAGCAAAATGTTGAATATCTTTTTTTAAGAGAATCTTTCAAATTTCAACAGTTTTTCTGCTTTAAAATCACTCATCAACGAGTAGAATCAGTTGAGAAGTAGTTGAACACAAGAAAATATTTCACATTTCGTCAAATATTTAGATGAGTGATTTTACAGCAAAATTAATGATAACGGTACATCTGCCCCAAACTTTTTCACAATTTTGTTTTGACTGTTTTCGTAATCTTTCATATGTATTAATTAATTGCCAATAACACGAGTACTTGAACCGAGTATTTATCGTCACCAGAAACAAAGTAGAATTAACAATTCGTTTGCACCACTGCTCCTTTAATTATTAAAAAGAAGGGGTAGATTCAATGGACGTTAGGATTTTTTCTCCTTCAAACTGACAAAGGGACGAGTGTTCTCTTTATTATCGTGTTGGTGTAAATTTGGGACGTCAAGTTCCATTATTTATAGTCTGTGTAAGTAATATATGTTTGATTAATGAAATTTCTTCTTGTAATTGCTTATTTCGTGGGCCTATATACAGGAGAATAGTAATAAGTCTAACAGGAGCAGGAGTCCTTGCCTCCCTGTTGCTCACTGGTGACGCCTTGTAGATTGGTACGACCTGGCTGGCTAGGATTGTGCTGAACACCAGACTCAGCAGCATTCAGATCCAAACTGTACATTCGGTTGATGCGGTTTTTATTAGAATAATGTTGGGACTAAGGTTCGTGCGAAAATGAGATGTTCTAATAAATCTAGGATGATTATTTCGTAATTTTCATGCGAACTAGTGGGTTTAAAGAAAAATGTCATGAAATCTTTTTTGTAGCTTATGAAATTCTCTACGAAAAAGGTCCTTAAACACTTGTTTCTAATTCCACTCATTACGGAGATAATTCAACAATTAAAATAACGAATGAATTGTAGAAAGGAAAAAGATGAAAAATTAAAGGCAAATTGTCACGTAAAAATATAAAACTAGAGGAGAAATGCCATAAGATCTTTTTTAATATGAAAATCAGAATATCATTTTGCTATTCTTCCTGACGCAATTGATTACTGAGATAATTAAACGGTTAACAACAGGTGAATTGAAGGGGAAAGAGATCAATTCAAAGATTGGAACAACTCATTTTGTAACTGTCTTGGAAACAAGTAGGTTTAAAGAAAAATGTGAGAAAATATTTTTTGCAGCTCATAAAATCATCTACAAATAACGTTTGATGACATTTTCTCTTGACATCACTCATTACAGAGATAATTCAGCAATTAGAATAACAAAGAATTGTAAAAAGAAAAGGTGAAAAATTAAAGACAGATTATTATGTGAATATCTTGGAAACTACTAGATTTACAGGAAAAATGTCAAATACTTTTTTGCAGCTTATGAAATTCTCTACAAAAAAGTCTTGTGATGATGTCCTCTAGACTCAATATTTATGGGAATATTTGTAAAATAATTGAACCTTTACAGCATTTCTTACTGTTTAAAAAAAAAGAAATTAGTAATTGAAACTACTCACCGTCCATCTCTTATACTCTGGAATATTTTCTTCGCCGTGTCTAAAAAGGCTTCCTCCACGTTGTGACCCCTGTTAATGACATTTGAATTATACAATGAGACAATAAGATTAAATATTATGCATAATGGAGCAGAGGCTTGGTGATATTGTGGGTGTGTTAATACTTACGTTTTTGCACTGGCTTCGACGAACATTAAACCATTCTCGTCAGCAAATTGTTTTGCTTCCTCGTAGGTAACGTCTCTTTGACCCTCCAGGTCACTTTTGTTGCCAATCAAGAATATCACCTGGAATCAAATTTTTTATTGTTCATTAATGGCTGTGTCATCCTCCTTCAAAGAAGATGAAAATCATAAAAATCAAGATGAACATTATTCAATCGAAATGGTTTTTTCAATTTGTTTTATCCTGCATCAAAGTGGAAAACATGATAATTTGGACCATTCTCGATTCATTATTTTGAAAATATCTCAGTAATGAGACCTTTTTCACACTTAAAAAAAGACCTCTTGACATTTTACTTTCGAATAGATCACTTTGAAGATAATTTTGTCAGTAATGAAAATACTATAGGGGACTTGCTGCCTTTTAATACTTCAATTCAAAGTGGAATTCAAAATTCTCAAAAGAAACACATGAAATTCCCTTTGACCTCTTAACATTTTGCTTCCAACTAATTCACTTTGAAGATAACTTCGTCAGTAATAAAAATACTATTTTAATCTTGTGGCTTTTTAATGTTTCAATTCAGCAGTGGAATTTAAAATTTCTAAGAAAATCCCATGGAATTTCATTTTTCAGTTTTCATTAATGACTGTGTCATCTCCTTTCGATGGAAAAGAAAATAATAAAATTCAAGATGAACATTATTTAACCGAAACATTCTTTTCAATTTTTTTTATCCTCCATTGAACTGGAAAGCTTAATAATTTGATCCATTTATGCTTAATTATTTTGAAAATATGTCAGTACTGGGACATTTGTTCACATAAAAAACGAGCTTATGACATTTTGCTTTCAAGTAATTTGCTTTGAAGATAATTTTGGCAGTAATGAACTATTATTTTGGTGTTGCTGCTTTTTAATGCTTCAATTTAGCGGTGGAATTCAAAATTCTCAAAAAATCACTCGAAATTCCATTTGACCTCTTCACCTTTTAGAATTCAAAATTTTCGTGATTGATTTTTGCGCTTGACGAAATAAAGACTACGGTGAAGATATCTATGAAAATAATTGCTTCAACCTGTTTTAAGATTGCACTAGTAAACTCAGTCGTTCCAATTCTCCAATAGTCTGGATCGAATTGTTTATTTTCACATGTATATCGTCTATTTGAGAAATCGTAATTCGGGGGATTAAAATTTCATGAACGCTGCTTCGAAAATCAACAGAAAGAGCGAATGTGGGGAATCGGTTTTGAATACATATAATCGAGTTATTGATTTTTTATTTTTTATAAAGAAACTATTCATGAAAAATTCCAAATTTTCAGCTATCATCACAAAAATCAAATCAACTAATATAGCTATTGTAATAATTCTTCAACTTCGACTTAATGGCATTAATACAAATAGTCTAAGCTATGACTGAGTTCATTTGAAGCATGATATTCAAGGACATCTCCGAAATTTTGAAGATTTACAAAAAATACAAATTTTTTGTAAATCTTCAAAAAAACCATTACGATTATCGCTGTCGCCTTTATCTTCGAACTGAATCCGAAACTAAAATTTCAACGATTACAAACCTTCCATTCAGAAGCAATAGAATAAGAAATTGTATAGATTTGTCAAGTCCTGTAAATTATTTAATTCTCTTGGGTCTTGATACATGAATTAATAAATAAGGAAATGAATAAATAAATAATTAAATAAATAAATATAAAAATTGAACTCACGGCGTACACACATACACACACGTACGGACGAGGTCTAAAAATTGCATTTTCGGATTTTGTTTATCATAATAGGTCGATATAACACAAGAAATCCGAAACTTAAATTTCAACGATTACAAAGCTTCCATTCGGAAGCAATAGGATAAGAAAATGAATGGATTTGTCCAGTCCTGTAAATTCTCGTGGGTTTTGTTACATGAATAAATAAATAGGGAAATGAATAAATAAATATTCAAATTGAACTCACAGTGCTGGGATTGGTGAGATTCCTCGTGTCTGTTAACCAGCTACTCAGGTGATTGTAAGTGGAACGCCGAGTGATATCATACACCATTAATGCCCCTGCTGCCCCACGATAGTAAGACCTGATAACAAGTAGGATAAAAATGATCATAAAATATTCACAAACTCGGAAATTCCCTATTTCTAAATTAAAACTGTTGCCGAGTACGAAAATACCTCGTGACAGCTCGGAACCTCTCCTGTCCAGCTGTGTCCCATATTTGTAATTTTATTTTCTGACCATTGACTTCGATTATTCTCGTGCCAAACTCCACTCCAATCGTGTGTGGACAGTCCGCCATAACTGAAATAGCCAAAATATTTTTGTGAACATTGCAATTGCCTCTTTAATTTTTTTATTAACAGTTCGTTGAACCCTTACATTTCTTCTCGGTAAACTGATGCAGCAGACAGGATTTACCTACACCCATATCACCGATAATGATGTATTTAAATATGTAGGAGTAATTGTACGGTCCCGCCGACATCGTGAATCTGCGAAGAAATTAAAATTATTGATAATTGCATGTCCTTCGTTGGCATATGAGGTATTCCATGCCAAATGAGTCAACGGCTAACCCTCACCCTCTTGAAAATTGATGGCGATTTTTCCTACGATTAGGGGGCTTGAAAAACTATCCCTCAAATTTTTTTCAGATTTTTTTGACAGCCCAGTTCGGAAATATGATTTTTTTCAATTTGTTCCGTTTTTTTACAATAACTCGAGTTCTACTCATCCGATTTCGATTTAATAGGGGGCAAAATTTTCCATTTTTCACCACCTATAAGAATGTTTTTTTTTTAAATTTTTTCCAATCTTTAAATGCTCGAAATAACGAATTTTCGGAAAAAAAAGTTGAAAAACTTGAATTTTGCCAATTACGTCACGGTCGATTATTTTAATTTTTTTTTCAGTAATTCTTATAATGAAAACGACAATTTTGAGCCGCCATACATGTTAGGTTCCATCCAGGATCTATTTTTTTTTTCTTTTTTCTTTTTAAAATTGCGAAAAATTGGTAAAACCACCTTAAAACGACTTTGATTATCGAAAAAATATGGAATATATAGGTATATATTTAAATTTGCTTCATACTGTTTATAATCAAAGTCAACCAATGACATTTTGGGGTATTTTGACCGAATTCGCGGAATTTTGAAAATAAAAAATTAAAAATAAAATAGATCTAAGACGAAACCCAACAAGTATGATGGCTCAAAATTTTTGTTTTGATTATAGGAATTACTGAAAAAAAAAAATTAAAATAATCAACCGTGACGTAATTAGCCAAATTCAAGTTTTTCAACGTTTTTTTCGAAAATTCGTTATTTCGAGCATCTGGAGATTGGAAAATATGTGGACAAAAAACATTCTTATAGGTGGTGAAAAATGGAAAATTTTAATCCCTAATAAATCGAAATCGGATGAGTAGAACTCGAGTTATTTAAAAAAAAACGAACAATTTGAAAAAAAAAAAATGAGTGCGTCATTTCTCCAATTTCTAGTAATTAGTCATTGAAAACAATTCATTTAGCCTCATTTTTCCTCATAGCTACTTAGGTTCAAGGAGAACTGAGAAATGTGCAGTGCAGATTTAACCATATTCAATCCCGGATGAGAAGTCACTAGGAAGATTATCTTGAGCCACGAACGAAGCTAATTCATCAGTTGTTTAAGCCATCGGCGATTAAATGATTTGCAAAAAAATCAATGCTCTAAAAACTGTTCGATGGATCAAGTCCATGTGATTGTTGATGGGTAATTCTTATCGCGGTCCAAATTCAGTGAGAATTTAGGGAAAATTCATGTATTCATTATCGTCATGTGTATTTTCAGCTAAATATGGACGCATAATGACTTTCTTCAAACAATTTTTCATAATTAAAAGTCGAAATAAATGAACCCCAAAATTCCATGGAATAATTTTCTCATTTGGAATTCGCATAACCCACACATATTGATGATGAAATCATTTACGAAAAAATCAATGCTCTAGAAACTGTTCAATTCATCAAACCGATGTGGTTTATCCATTGATAATTCTCATTGCGGTCCACATTAAGGCAAAATTCTGAGAAAATATATGTTTGTTATCGAGATATGTATTTTTGCTACATATGAGCACATAATTCCCTCTTTAAAACGATTCTTCATACTTGAAACACGAAATAATTGAAGCCCAAAAGTAAGTTCACTAATTTTCTCATTTGACATTCGCAAATTCAGTCAAAATTCAGAGAAAATTCATTTTGTTACAGATTTAGACTAAACATCAATGTTTTTTTAAAAGCTTTTCGTCATAATTAAAACCTGAAATAATTGAAAGCCAAAATTAAATGGAATAGTTTTCTCATTTGGAATTCGCATAACCCACACATATTGATGATGAAATCATTTACGAAAAAATCAATGCTCTAAAAACTGTTCAATTCATCAAACCGATGTGGTTTATCCATTGATAATTCTCATTGCGGTCCACATTAACGCAAAATTCTGAGAAAATATGTGTGTTCGTTATCGAGATATGTATTTTTGCTAAATATGAGCACATAATTCCCTCTTTAAAACGATTCTTCATAATTGAAACTCGAAATAATTGAAGCCCAAAAGTAAATTCACTAATTTTCTCATTTGACATCCGCAAATTCAGTCAAAATTCAGAGAAAATCCATGTTGTTACAGATTTAGACTAAACATCACTGTTTTTTAAAACCATTTCTTCATAATTAAGACCTGAAATAATTGAACGCCAAAATTAAATGGAATAATTTTCTCATTTGGAATTCGCATGACAAAATTTAGGGTAAAACTATGTATTCATCATCGACATATGTATTTTCTACAAAATATGAGAACATATTGACATTTTTAATTAATTCTTTATAATTAAAACCCGAAATAATTGAAGCCCAAAAGTAAATTCACTAATTTTCTCATTTGACATCCGCAAATTCAGTCAAAATTCAGAGAAAATCCATGTTGTTACAGATTTAGACTAAAAATCAATGTTTTTTAAAAACATTTCGTCATAATTAAAACCTGAAATAATTGAGAGCCAAAATTAAATGGAATAAGTTTCTCATTTGGAATTCGCATGACAAAATTTAGGGTAAAACTATGTATTCATCATCGACATATGTATTTTGTACAAAATATGAGAACATATTGACATTTTTAATTAATTCTTCATAATTAAAACCCGAAATAATTGAAGCCCAAAAGTAAATTCACTAATTTTCTCATTTGACATCCGCAAATTCAGTCAAAATTCAGAGAAAATCCGTGTTGTTACAGATTTAGACTAAACATCAATGTTTTTTAAAAACATTTCTTCATAATTAGAACTTGAAATAATTGAAAGCCAAAATTAAATGGAATAATTTTCTCATTTGGAATTCGCATGACAAAATTTAGGGTAAAGCTATGTATTCATCATCGACATATGTATTTTCTACAAAATATGAGAACATATTGACATTTTTAATTAATTCTTCATAATTAAAACCCGAAATAATTGAAGCCCAAAAGTAAATTCACTAATTTTCTCATTTGACATCCGCAAATTCAGTCAAAATTCAGAGAAAATCCGTGTTGTTACAGATTTAGACTAAACATCAATGTTTTTTAAAAACATTTCTTCATAATTAGAACTTGAAATAATTGAAAGCCAAAATTAAATGGAATAATTTTCTCATTTGGAATTCGCATGACAAAATTTAGGGTAAAGCTATGTATTCATCATCGACATATGTATTTTCTACAAAATATGAGAACATATTGACATTTTTAATTAATTCTTCATAATTAAAACCCGAAATAATTGAAGCCCAAAAGTAAATTCACTAATTTTCTCATTTGACATCCGCAAATTCAGTCAAAATTCAGAGAAAATCCGTGTTGTTACAGATTTAGACTAAACATCAATGTTTTTTAAAAACATTTCTTCATAATTAGAACTTGAAATAATTGAAAGCCAAAATTAAATGGAATAATTTTCTCATTTGGAATTCGCATGACAAAATTTAGGGTAAAGCTATGTATTCATCATCGACATATGTATTTTCTACAAAATATGAGAACATATTGACATTTTTAATTCATTGTTCATAATTAAAACCCGAAATAATTGAAACTCAAAATTATACGGAATAATTTTATCATCTGGAATCCGCATGACCCACATACTCCACTCGTACTCCCCCACTCCAATTTCCATTCTATAATTTTTTTCAGCTAATTGAAATTAATTCCCTGGAGAATGATTCAGTCGACCCGTGCATGATAACACCCCCTATCTCTCCGCGACAGAGCAATTCTTTCATACTCAATTTCATACGAACGTCCACGTAACAATCCAATTATGAAGAATTTATGAATACGAAAATTCTGAATGAGGAAAAGACTGTCTGGAAATCTTCTGCGGTTTTTATTTTATTTAAATTCCGCCTTTATCTCTATTTGCAGCGTTGAAATGATGTTTATCAATGGATGATTAATCAGAATCATACACCAATTAGAGGTTTTTTCAGAACACAAAACAACTTGTATACTGAATTTCATAAAAACACTCATGAAAAAATCCAATTATGAGGAAATTATGGGACATTCCACGGAAAATGAACGAATCGTCGACCCTCACCCTCACCTTTCAAAAATTAAGGGTGATTACTTATCTGATAGTGGCATGAAAAAACTAATTCCTGAGGTATGATTTTTTTTTGTTTCAACTTCCATTTTATTCAAGCGATTTTGATTGATAAAATGTGAAATTCTTTGCTTTTTCATCAATTTTCATGATAAAACCCAATAGTTTTTTTCTAATTCCCTGATCTCTTAACAGATTATACTTTAGAATTGTATAGTGTAATAACTATATACTTTTTAATGCGATTTCGAATTTCAGATCCGGGTGTACTATCTTTCGAACGTTATCTCGATGTTTTTTTTCATCTTTCGTCATCTGACATTGTCAATTGAGTTCTGCATCATGCAGAAGTTTTGAAAAATCATGAATGAATAGTAAAGAAAAAGTAGAAGAAATTCTTAATTTTTTCAAAGAGCATTTTTAATTTATATTCAGAATAAGTTGAATAACAAGAAATTGAAAAATGTGTCTGATTTACGGTGACAAATGGCAGCCTTTCACCCAATATCATGCAGGGGGAAGACTGATTTCGTAAATCTTTTCCCACACTGCACAGAGACATTTATTACGGAAAAGGCTCTTTGAAAAAAGTTGTAATATTTGGAGAATTTTTTAATCACACTTTTATCACATAAAAATGGAAGATGACTACATACCACTGTTTCGAAAATTGAGATACCTAGCTGTCACTTCCCATGAGGAGTTAGTGTTTTGTTATCCACCATGGAAAATGACAGCTAATAGATAATTTGCCACAGCGAATCAGATATTTGTAATTTCCACTTTTTTACCTCATTCTGAATCTCAATTAAAAACGCTCTTTGAAAAAGTTCAGAATTCTATCAATTTTTTTTTATCATTCTATCATAATTTTTGGGAATTTCTACATGATGTACGACTAAATTGACAATTTTGGATTACGAAAGATAAAAAAAATACAGATAACATTCGAAAGATAGTACACTCGGGCCTTCACTTCGGAAATTATTCTTTGTACAGTCGAGCACTAAAGTTCGTGAAGAACCTGAATTGTATCCTACACTGAGAAAAAAACAAACACGTTGTCAAACAAGTCTTGTTTGGGCCAACAAAATCGCTAGTTGAAAATAGCCAAAAAAGAATTTGTTTGGTTTGAATTTGTAAGTCTCAAACACGAATAATTGCTCTGCTTTCGACAGCAACGAAATATTTCGCTCAAGAGGCGGATAATTCACACCAGACGGTGCCTTTTCAGGATCAAAATTTCTCATATAGAGGAAAATTTATCAACAAATATTTTATTCCTAAGTTACAAGATTGCTATCATATCATTATTATTCTTTCAGTGGAGGGTTCATTCCTCGTCTGTAATTATTGGACAGCCGAAACGAAAAACTACTCTCCCTTTTTCCGCATAAAACAAAGATTTTTCGGGAGCAAAATACGTATGGGAATGCAATTTTTTTGAACTACTAAATCTATTTTTGCGACAAAAATTTTTCATTCCGGCGCCCTCTCTGCATGTCTGGCACAAAAAAATCCTTTTTTGATAATTTTCAAAAAACTATTTTCTTGGCACAAGTAAGACTTGTTTGAGAACTTTGCCGTTTTTCTCTCAATGTATGTATTCTATTCACGAACGTTAGTGTTCGACTGAACTCAGCAAAAAACTATTTGCAACCCAATTATAAGTAATAAGAGGTTCATTCGGAGGACAGAACGACTCTTGCACATTGAACTCCATCAAAGTTTTGAAATATTCGTTTCATATAAACTGTTTTTATCTTCATCTCGAGTCATCCAATATTATTTATCAGTCAATAATGAACTAAAATCATGCGCCGATGACGAAATCCCCCAACATTAGTTTATCATTCAATTATGAGGAATATGAGATGGTCCATATCAAGAGATATTCTCTCAAAAATTGAGAGCGATTATTTTAGTCACAGAATGACAAAGAACTACTTCCTGAATTTTTTCCGTTATTTTTTTTATTTTACTACTATAATTCTTATTGTGTCCAACCGATTTCAATTAATAATACATGAATACACTAGCAGATACTAAAGTGCTGTTCAAAAATTATTTTTTAAGCAAATTATCCAATACCGAGTGCAAATCAAAATTGCATAGATAAAAATGAAAAGACTGGTATATAGTAAACCCATAGAATAAAAAAGAAATCAATCCCTTTTTGTTATTCAATATTAGCGAAACTCGAGAGCTACTATATGGCCATAGCCTACCGAATTGAAGAAAAATACTTTAGGGGGAGTGGGGTAAACAGACACTTTAGACTTTTGTTTCAATTACTCATAACTCAGAAACAAATTTATCAATTGAGCTCAGTTTAAGCTCATCACAAAGGGAAAGAGTTGTTCTTTGTAATGAAAAAAAAATCATTAAATTTTATCAACATTTAAACCCGTCTCTAACATTTTTAAAAAAGTCACAAGTGTCCATTTTATCCCAACCTCCCGTACATAAAATTTTTTTGATACTAGTGTTTAAATTATGTAAATACTGTAAATAATGACTGTTTATAATAAAAACCTGGTGGAGCAAAAAAAATTGAATGAATAATAACTTCCTCTCTTTGGGTTCGAAAATTAAAAAATGAAAATCTTCCTCTTTTCATCAGATTTCAAGGACATAATTCAATAGATTGTCCCCAACAAATCACAAACAAATTGACTGCAAATAAAAATTGCAGACGTAAAGACGAAAATACTGTAAATAATGACTGTTTATTACTAAAAACCTGGTTAAGCAAAAAAAAAATAAATAAATAATAGCTCCTTCCCTTTTAAAACCCGAAAATTTTCGTCTTTTCATCAGATTTCAGGGAATAATCCAATAGATTCTCCCCAACAAACAAATTGACTCCAAAATCTGTCCCAATTATGAATAATTTTATTGCTAATAAATACGGAAATCCTAAATAAGTAAAAAACACTACAATCCCTCTGAGATATTCATTCCACATAAACTATGTCTTCATCTTCATTCCAGTGGATAATGACTCAAAATCATGCACCAATGACAAAAACCCCCAGCATTACAAATGAATCACAACTAATCAAAGGTTTTTGTCTTCCTGAATCGAACGGCCAATGACTGGGCTCAACAACACAAAACAACACACGGGCCAGTATAAATCATCCAGTGGAAATTCGTCGTCGAAATATAGACAATCGACCCCACTAAATTCACCGCCTCATCTCCCAAAAAATCCAGCCTAAAAAATTGTCCCTTGGACTCTAATTTCGAGGAATCATCAACAAGAGGTAAATGTCGAAGCCAAAGTCTCAGTTAATGAATAATCCTGTCCTTACCTTTGTGGTCAGAATTTAAGCAAATTATCTAATATCAACTGCAAATAAAAATTGCAGACGTAAAGACGAAAATACTATAAATAATGACTGTTTATTACTAAAAACCTGGTTAAGCAAAAAAAAATAAATAAATAATAGCTCCTTCCCTTTTAAAACCCGAAAATTTTCGTTTTTTCATCAGATGTCAGAGAATAATCCAATAGATTCTCCCCAACAAACAAATTGACTCCAAAAACTGTCCCAATCATGAATAATTTTATTTCTAAAAAATACGGAAATCCTAAATAAGTAAAAAACACTACAATCCCTCTGAGATATTCATTCCACATAAACTATGTCTTCATCTTCATTCCAGTGGATAATGACTCAAAATCATGCACCAATGACAAAAACCCCCAGCATTACAAATGAATCACAACTAATCAAAGGTTTTTGTCTTCCTGAATCGAACGGCCAATGACTGGGCTCAACAACACAAAACAACACACGGGTCAGTATAAACCATCAGGTGGAAATTCGTCATCGAAATATAGACAATCGACCCCACAAAAGTCACCGCCTCATCTCCCAAAAAATCCAGCCTAAAAAATTGTCCCTTGGACTCTAATTTCGAGGAATCACCAACAAGAGGTAAATGTCGAAGCCAAAGTCTCGGTCAACGAATAATCCTGCCCTCACCTTTGTGGTCAGAAGGTGTTTTCCAAGAAATTTATTAAAACCCCGTTAACTCGTCCACCTCCGGCGACAGCTCGATCCCAAAAATCGCCGTTAGCTCCTCGAATGTATCCACTATTCCATGAATAAAGAGAGTTGCTCTAACCACCTCGATTTTTTCAATCAACTAAACCGAAAATTATTTATCGAAACAAATTCTTGTGTATCGACACACACACAATATGGCAGTTCACTGTCTAACAACTATGGCGGCGCATAAACGTCAAACCACCTGTCAATTATCGCCCCAATTATCAACGATTTTTAATTCATTAGTGACGGTTATTGACGAGTAATTGCGATTTTTTATTCAATTCTGACGTCGGCGAAAACTTCTGAATAAATTATTTATCGTTTTGGTACAGTCGCTAAATGATTGATGCTTACGAGAGGCGGGAAATTCAAACATGTCTCGCGAACATAATTTTTTTCATCACGATGAATAATGTTTTGACGGATTTTACAATGAAAATTTTGTTTTTAAATAAAAATTGAAATTAAAGTCGATGGAAATGAGAGGAAATGATGAGTATAATTTTTTTTAAGGATTTCATGACAAGAGTTTTTTCAATCAGAATTAGAGGGAAGTTCTGCGGATTTGAGAGAAATAAATCTACTGGCTCAAGAAACGAAAGAAATTCTGTAATAATTCCCGTTGATCTTTTTTGAAGTAATAACACGAATAATTGTGCTTTTATATAATTTTTTTTTATTGAAAGAAATATTGTCATACAGTTGTTAAATGACTGATTCACATGAGCGGCGGGAAAATTCAAACAATTCCAACACACTTGATTTTTGTAATTAAAAAAATGGAAATTCAAACAGCTATTTATAGCGATTTCGATCATTTAATTGAGTTTAGAAACAATTTTGAACGAAAATGAGAGGAAAAAGAGGATTTCAAACTGAAAAAACAAAAGTCATTCCATAACAAGTCCCACTGATCTTTTGGGAAGTAGTTTTATGAATAATTGCACTTTTAGATTAACTTTTTCATTCAAATTAATATTTTTGTTCGGTTGTTAAATGATTGACTCGCACGTGAGGCGGGGAAAGTCAAACAATTTCAACAAACATAATCTTTTTCATTAAAAAAATTATAATTCAAACAATTTTATGACAATTTCTTTCATTTAATTAAATTTAGAAACAATTTTATGACAATTTCTTTCATTTAATTAAATTTAGAAACAATTTCAGACGAAAATTAGAGGAAAACAGTATTTCAAACTGAAAAAACAAAAGACATTCGATAAAAATTGCCACTGATCTTTTTTGGAATAGTTTTATGAATAATTGCGACTTTATATTCATTTTTTAAATTCAAATAAATATTATTTTACAGTTGTTAAATGATTGATTTGCACGTGAGGCGGGGAAATTCAAACAATTTCACCAAACAATATTTTTCATTAAAAAAATCATAATTGAAACAATTTTATGACAATTTTTTTCATTTAATTAAATTTAGAAACAATTTCAGACGAAAATTAGAGGAAAACAGTATTTCAAACTGAAAAAACAAAAGACATTCGATAAAAATTGCCACTGATCTTTTTTGGAATAGTTTTATGAATAATTGCGACTTTATATTCATTTTTTAAATTCAAATAAATATTATTTTACAGTTGTTAAATGATTGATTTGCACGTGAGGCGGGGAAATTCAAACAATTTCACCAAACAATATTTTTCATTAAAAAAATCATAATTGAAACAATTTTATGACAATTTTTTTCATTTAATTAAATTTAGAAACAATTTCAGACGAAAATTAGAGGAAAACAGTATTTCAAACTGAAAAAACAAAAGACATTCGATAAAAATTGCCACTGATCTTTTTTGGAATAGTTTTATGAATAATTGCGACTTTATATTCATTTTTTAAATTCAAATAAATATTATTTTACAGTTGTTAAATGATTGACTCACACGTGAGGCGCGACAATTCAAACAATTTCAACAAACATAATTTTTTTCATTAAAAAAATTATAATTCAAACAATTTTATGATAATTTCTTTCATTTAATTAAATTTAGAAACAATTTCAGACGAAAATTCGAGGAAAAACATTATTTCAAACTGAAAAAACAAAAGTCATTCGATAAAAATTTCCACTGATATTTTTCGAAGTGGTTTTATGAATAATTGCGATTTTATATTCATTTTTTAAATTTAAATTAATATTTTTGTGCAGTTGTTAAATGATTGATGCGCACGTGAGGCGGAGGAATTCAAACAATTTCAACAAACGTAATCTTTTTCATTAAAACAATTATAATTCAAACAATTTTATGACAATTTCTTTCATTTAATTAAATTTAGAAACAATTTCAGACAAAAATTAGAGGAAAACAGCATTTCAAACTGAAAAAACAAAAGTCATTCGATAAAAATTTCCACTAATCTTTTTCGAAGTCGTTTTATGAATAATTGTGATTTTATATTCATTTTTAAATTTAAATTAATATTTTTGTACAGTTGTTAAATGATTGATTCGCACATGAGGCGGGGAAATTCAAAGAATTTCAACCACCATAATCCTTTTCATAAAAAAAATAATAATCCAAACCATTTTATAACGTCTTTATTCATTTAATTAAATTGAGAAACAATTTCAGGCGAAAACGAGAGAAAAGGGAAATATTAGTGACTGAAAAAGCAAAACAAAATCCACAAAAATTTCCATTCACATTTTCCCGCGCAGTGGCACCCCTGTCTCCTCCACAAATGGCGTCGACAAGGTGCAACACTGATGTACACCATCGGTCACTCCATTTCCGTTATCTTTAGACGCACAAGAAGGGCAGACGGGCCGGAATAATCCATTATTTAATAAATCTAAACAACTAATTATCAACTAATCACAACAATCCATCGAAAATGACCAGCACCATAAACCCATCACCACTATTTATAAACAAATAAAAACCGAGGGGAGCGCAAAGTGCCAAGAATAAAATTCCAAAAAGTCCGGTAGCAAAAAAAAGCCAATACTACTTACGGTGGAGCAAAAAAAAAACCGAAGGAACGGGGGAATCGAGAGATCGAATGTGTGCGGAATTGAAAACGAGAGGGGGAACAAGCCATTTCTCCGTGTGATTTTTTGTTACGAAAATTAATCATTAAAAATCGAGTGTTTACATTGTTATTTATTACTAAAAACCGAATGATTGTGACTAAACGGGAATCAGTGAGTGCGGTATTTATTAATTATTTATTGAAAATCAGCATCCATCGATTGATCGAGTCTAATGAGGCAGAAGTAGTCGAAAAAAAGCCGTCAATCGATCGGATTTTTCGCCTCTCGTGTTTGTGGACTCGCAGCCTCGGGGGCTCCTCTCCAATTTTTTTTTCTCCTCAAGCCCCCAGTGTGTTTTAACCGTGTACAAGTGTGTGTGTTATGTCAACGTAACCTGCGGCAGCACTGCCGCCTCTTTAGTAATTAACCAAACAAAATGGACACCAAGATAACGATTAAACGAATGCCCGTGAGATTTTTTTAAATGGAATATGCGGGAGAATGGATTCACGATAAATAACGTAAGTGTTTTAACAATAGTCATGTCACATCAACAATTATTGTTGCATTACACTCGAGTGCCGATTGTTCGGGAGTCATTGTTGGACGGGATTGCCGTCTAGCCGTTTTCTTCGTCGGTTTCTTCGACTTTTTTTTTCTCTTTTTTTTCGGTTGTATTAAAATTGCGGCACCTACATGTGCCCCCTGTTCTCATTCGCCAGGTGTTGGGTTACAAATGCAGGGAAAAAATGAACGGCCGACTCCAGCCGGACGCCACACCGAAATATTTCGACGGTTTACCCATTACTTGAGGAGTTTAGGGCTCGGTTTATTACTGGGGATTGGAAATGTCGGGGGGGTTTAAGCTGTTGGGGGCTCTTTTTAAGCTGGGGAATTGGTTTTCGGGGTTTTGTTTGGCTCTGGTGATCGTCGTGACCGCAATTTCGGATGATTTTTCCGAGTCTGGCTTGTTAACGGTACTTGCATCGCTAATCGGCGGATTCATTATGCTCGGGATGATGGTTCTGTTATGTGACATTGTTTATTTCTTCGGCAGGAGCTTTGTTGAGAGCCGAGAGGTTCTGGGATTTTTTTTCAAGAGTTTACCTCGAATTTCATTATTTTTTCCTGTTGTTTCACTCTGCTCTGTTCGGCTCGCTTCTCTCGTTACGATGAATTACATAAAACGCCTGAAAAAATCGTCTCGATTTTGAAATTATCATCTAGACGGCTAATTGAACAATAAATGATTGATTGCATCATCGTTTGAGGCTTAGAATCTAGAGCGAACAAAAGTGCGCGAGACAATTCACGTTGAATTTCTCGGAATTCTGAATGGAAAAATATGAGTGAGGGAATATATTTCGCGTGCAAGAGAGTACGACACGTGAGTCAGAGAAAATCGGGTGTAACAATTGCACAAAACGTCTGCATTGGAAAGAAAAAAAAAACTCACAAATTGAGAACTTGAATTTTTTCGTTCGAATACTTTTAATTCAATTCGTTTGGGATTTAAAAACTCTGTTGCTTGGAACGGTTTAACGTCTTTGTACTTTACTTGCATTTTACACAACAACGAGAGGTGCCCGAGACACTCGTGTGCAAAGAAAGGAAAAGAGAGAGATACGAAATGGGAAAAAAGGAGGAGATGAGAGAGAGATGGGAGAGAGTGAGACATCGGGCAACGGGAGAATCACAGGACGCTATTGGTTAATCAAGTATCCTGCGGCTCAATGCTGCTTTATAAGGTAAAATCTGATTGGTTCTCTTTCTCGTGTAATTCGGGCCCCGCCTTGCCACCGCCAATTGCTCGATTCGTCTTCCACTCGGTGCCCATTCCAAATAACTTTTATTACTTTATCCCGAAAAAAGGGGAAATTGGCGATTGTTTTATTCTGGAGGTACATCGATATCTCCAGAACTAGGCGGCGTTCAATCCCGGAGAATCGTCCTGGTGATAACGAAATCATTTCCTTTTTGAATTGGGAATTGAAAAATATTTTGCACTTCAGTTCTATTTAAAAATCAGGGGAAGATCCATTGATTTTTAAAGTCAAATCCGTTGTTTTCTTCAATTTATTTCGTTCAGATTGTTTGGTCAGGGAATGTTTGGGGTGAGCTTCTAACATCTCTTGATTTTTGCTGCAAAACATTCTTGATGGAAAAACGAAATGGAATTTAAAAAATTTCAAGTAACTTTCTTCAGTTATTCCGAAAAAAGGAATTTAAAATTTTTTTTTCTTCTGGAATTACATCTGATAGTAATCCATTGATTTTTGAAATTGAAATTGATCTTTTTCTACAATTTATTTCGTTGAAATTGTTTCTTCAAGAAATATTTGGGATATGTTGCAAAAATCTCTAAATTTTTGCTGCAGAAGATCTTCCATTGGAAAACAGAATAGAATTTCAAAAATTTCAAGTAACTTTCTTCAGTTATTCCGAAAAAAGGAATTAAAATTTTTTTTTTCTTCTGGAATTACATCTGATAGTAATCCATTGATTTTTGAAATTGAAATTGATCTTTTTCTACAATTTATTTCGTTGAAATTGTTTCTTCAAGAAATATTTGGGATATGTTGCAAAAATCTCTAAATTTTTGCTGCAGAAGATCTTCCATTGGAAAACAGAATAGAATTTCAAAAATTTCAAGTAACTCTCATTCGTTACTCCGAAAAAAGGAATTTAAAATTTTTTTTATTCTGGAATTACATCTATATTTGCAGATCTAGTCGGCTTTGAATCCCTTCGCATTATCGTGATGATAGCAAACTCATTTCCTTTTTGAATTGGGAATAATCCATTGATTTTTGAAATTGAAATTGATCTTTTTCTACAATTTATTTCGTTGAAATTGTTTCTTCAAGAAATATTTGGGATATGTTGCAAAAATTTCTAAATTTTTGCTGCAAAATATTTTCTATTGAAAAACGAAATAGAATTTCAAAAATTTCAAGTAACTCTCATTCGTTATTCCGAAAAAAGGAATTTTAAAAATTTTTTTATTCTGAAATTACATTTACATTTGCAGATCTAGTCGTCTTCGAATCCCTCACGTCATCATGATGATAACAAAATCACTGCCTTTTTAATTGAGAATAAAAAAATTCTGTTGCAATTAAATTAATTTGTATTTAGATTCAATAGATCTTAACCATTCTTCAAAACTTATTTTCTTCAAATTGTTCCTACAAAACATATTGTTCACCGAAAAAGGTTCCAAAATCTTTTGATTTTTGTTGCAAAATTTTTTCTATACAGAATCTAAGTAAAATTTGAAAAATTCCAAACGATTTTTATCCCTATTGTCACCATAATAACAAAACAATTTACTTTTCAATCGAAAATAAAAAAAAATATTGAATTTCGATTCATATCTATAGCAAAATCAATAGATGTTTAGCATTCCCCAGAACTCATTTTGTTCAAATTGTTATAAACAATGTTTCAACAGAATAAGTTTCCAAAATATCTCGATATCTGTTGCAAAATATTTTCAATAGAAAAACGAAGTCCAATTTGAAAAATTCCAGATGATTTTCGCCCCAATATCATCATAATACCAAAATAATTTACTTTTGAATTGAAAATAAAAAAAAATATTAAATTTGGGTTCATTTATATTGAAAAATCAATAGATCTTTAGCATTCACTAGAACTTATGTCATTCAAATTGTTATAAACAATATTTGAAAAAAAAAGTTTCCACAATCTGTCAAAAATCTGCAAAATATATTCAATAGAAAAACGAGATGTTTTAAAATTAACTTTCTTTTAAATCCTCATCTCTTTATTAATTACATTATCCTCCACTGATTGACATCGCGAATTCAATCGCCTCATGCAAATTCCCTCGGAAAAAACAATCCCAGCGTCACGCATGACTCACCCTAATTACCCTCCTCATCATCATTTCTCCAATCGAAACAATTCGAACAAGAAAAAAATATTACACTGTCAACGAAATTCACTTACCTGCGGTCGGCACCGAGTTTTCCAACCGACAGATGTCCGCACGTGTTCTCCCCGAGCTTCCTCTGGACTAGCATCCCGAAAGATCATCTTCGGGAATATTTTTCCCATCACAACTTCCAAATAATCACTCCAGCCCATATAAATAGGAAAACTTCCCCCATTTCTCGCCCCCTCCCGAAAATCGATATCCGTTGATGATTGATGTTGCTGCAGTATAATCAAAGTCTTCCTGCATATCCCCTCATCTGTCTCCCAATTTTCTTTTCCAATTCTAACGAGATCAATTCCACATTCGGAAAAAATCATTGGATCAGATAAAGTTAAGGAAAATTTGTTGAGGAAATTCTGTTAGGAAAATTGATTTTATTTAATTTCTGTTCTGTAAACAACAACTTGTTCTGAAAAACCTAGCTTAGCTCTTTCTTTAGGGTAAAACGCAACCCCTGTCTTTATATGAACTTTTAGGATTGTTTTCCCCTGCAATTATTATTTTTTATTTATGAAACTACTTCATTGACTCAATAATGCAACGATCGAGTAAATAAAGTAATTAACTACTTTGTAATGAACTACTTCATTGTCTCAATAATGCAAGATCGAGTAAATAAAGTAAATTCATAGATTTAAAGTAATGCTGGTAGAAGAGAATATAATCGAACATCAGAGTTTTCATTTGTGTCCAATGTGACCCCGAGTTTCCGGGCATTTTACAATGATTTTATTATTTAAACTTCGCAGGCCTGAATTTGAATCTCGATATTGAAGCGTCAGAAAAGATTTAAAAATCTGAAAAAAATTTGAACATTTACTTCTGAAGGAAGGTTGATAAAATAACTGAAACATTGCAATTTTGAAAAATTAAAAACATTTTTACGAGTAATTTGTAAACAATCAATTTGACGCCATAAAAATCATGTGCTCGGAATTGATCTTTTTCTACAATTGATTTCGTTGAAATTGTTTCTTCAAGAAATACTTCAGATATGTTGCAAAAATCTCTAAATTCTTGCTGCAAAATATTTTCTATTGAAAAACGAAATAGAATTTCAAAAATTTCAAGTCACTCAGTTATTCCGAAAATCGCGGAAATAGATGTTTGTTTTATTCTGGAGTTACATCAATATTTCCAAACCTAGTAGTCTTTGAATCCCTTCGAGTCATCATGATGAGAACAAAATCATCTCAGTTTTTAATTGAAAATGACAAAATTAGATTTTACTTCGATTCATCTCTATTTCAAATATCAATAGATCTTGATTTTTGTCGAGAATTTATTTCGATTAAACTATTTCTTCAGGGAATATTTATGATAAGTTGCCAAATCTCTTGATTTTTGCTGCATTTTTGCGGTCTTTTCAATCTTCAAAAAGAATTGGAGTTCAATTAGAATTCTACTTTACGCCTCTGTCTTAGATCACTAGTAGGAGTAGGAGTACTATACACTAACAGGAAAATGAATAGGTTCACAAACAAGTCTTGTTTGGACCAAAAAAATCGCAAATTCAAATGAACAAATGGTCATTGGATCCAACTGAAGACTTCATCA